TCTGTCCTGTATTATCCTGTGTAGAGCAGACCCAGAGCAGCCCCAGTGTAGCTAAAACGAACAAGCCCAATGTCTGACTAGAAGTAGCCTGGCGCTAGTTCACTCCAGACTACTTCTAGTATAGTAAAATAAGAACTGCGTGAGAACTAGCTATCGCCACATCATGGCTAGATAGTACAACATCAGAACTAGCGTGCGCCACACCACGGCTAGATAACACTACATTAGAGCTAGCTAACGCCTGACTAGTCGATTAAGTCGAGTATTAGACTGGAAGAATGTGATAATTTTGTGTCTGGCGCTAGTCTGCATGCCATACTAGCTCCTTATCAGACAGTGGGACAAGTAAGTTAGCGCCAGTCTAGCACTATGGTGATTTTTCTACCAGGGTTATTTTTATAAGAAAATAATTAATTATTTTATATATTTTTATTTAAATAACACAGTTCTCGACATTCTATTGGAAGCATGGCATGAAGGAAGAATAACTCTACACGAATGTGATGATCATATGATTACAATGTTATTCGCAGTACGTATTTATATTTCCACATTCAAACTATATGTAGACATATAATGAAACAGGTTTTTATTTACGTAGGCCACTGAAACAACTGCCGTTACAATGAATTTTGTGATTTTTATGCTCGCAAATTTCCCAGAAGTACAAGTACGTAGACATTAAATTTATTGAAATACAATACAAGTTATTAACTTATTTAATACATATATAAAACTTACAAATAATGTAATTTCAAGTTAGTGACTATATGTATTAGGTGTTGGAATTAATTCGTAGCGTTTTTTTACGAGAGAAACAACGATTTATTCTAAGTTTAAATATAAAAATACATTACTAAAAATATTTTCCATCGCTTGCCACAACTTTTTCCCATCTTTCGGGTAAGAGACGGATACCTCGTCGAAAAAACGCTTCGTCTTTAGAGGCGATCCATGAATCAATCCAAGTTTTGCATTCTTCATAAGAAGTAAATTTCTCCGCGGACAAACCATGGGCCATCGACCGGAACAAGTGATAATCCGAAGGAGCAATATCTGGAGAATACGGCGGGTGGGTTAGGACTTCCCATTTCAGTGTTTGCAGGTACGTTTGCACTGGCTTTGCGACGTGCGGTCTAACATTGTCGTGCAGCAAAATAATTTTGTCGTGCCTTTCGCTCCATTCCGGCCGTTTCTCCTTCAATGCCCGACTCAAGCGCATCAATTGCAGTCGGTAACGATCCCCAGTGATGGTTTCATTCGGATTCAGCAGTTCGTAGTAAACCACACCCCGTTGATCCCACCAAATGCAAAGAAGAAGCTTAGATCCATGAATATTACGTTTTGGTACTGATGATGATGGTTGTCCAGGCTTAACCCATGATTTTCTGCGCTTGGGGTTATCGTAATATATCCATTTTTCATTACCAGGAACAATCCGATGTAAAAAACTTTTTCTTTTGTACCGTTGAAGCAGTAACTCGCAAGTCAAAAAACGCCTTTCAACGTCCCTCGGCTTTAATTCGTATGGAACCCAATGTCCTTCCTTTTGGATCATCCTTAACGCTTTAAGTCGTTTTCCCACTGTTGAAAAGTCAACCCCCAACGATGTGGACAACTCTTCGAGCGTTTGAGTTGAGTTCTCCTCAAGTAATGTCTCCAATTCTTTGTCTTCAAACTTTTTTGGCTGTCCAGGTCGTTCCTTGTCTTCTAAGTCGAAATCACCGCTCTTGAATCGCGCAAACCACTTCCGACACGTTTGTTCAGCTAAAGCTTGCTCACCGTAAACTTCTTCTAAAATCCTATGGCTTTCCGCAGCAGTTTTATTCATATGAAAGTAATGTAATAAAACTCCCCGCAAAAACACTTTATTTGGTATAAATTTAGACATATTTAAATAATTATAACTTGATGTTATTAACAAGTGAAAGTAAGATGGGTCGTAAAAATAACACCTAACCTAACAGCTGATTTAAGATAAATTTGCTTCTGACGATAAAAACAGAAAACTGTAGTATCCCCGCCATCTCTCGTAAAACGCTACGAATTAATTCCAACACCTAATAATATATTAGTGACTATAGGTCTGTTCTTTATAGCTGAACTGGCTGCACTAGTTCAGAGTTTATCTTTTTTCCTCCACGTTAGAAGAAGAAAGATAAACTTTGAACTAGTGCAGCCAGTTCAGCTATAAAGAACAAACCTTATATGTAATATATTATTTACGTTAAAAATTTAAATAGAATTATGCAAACATTTTTATTTATTATTCTTACGCTTTAGTTATTGCTAGCAATATTAATTTCGTAAGCAATGCACAAAATTTTAATCACAAGTATAGAGCAATATATATATTGAAAAATACACATAATCGCTTCAATTTATTTCATACTAGGAAAAAGCGTACAAAGAATTATCAGAAATTTACGACACTAAATCTCCAAAATCTGTACCAATTAAATATGATGATTTGCAAAAAATGGATTATTTGAACCGAGTTATTAAGGAAACAATGGGCTTGTTCGTTTTAGCTACACTGGGGCTGCTCTGGGTCTGCTCTACACAGGATAATACAGAACAGATAAATAGTTTGTCCTGTATTATCTTGTTTAGAGCAGACCCAGAGCTGCCCCAGTGCAGCTAAAACGAACAAGCCCAATGAGACTCTTCCCAGCTGCTCCTGTGATTGGACGAATTCTAACAGAAGACTTAAAAATAGGTATGATTAACCATAATTGTGTATTATAATAATTTATTTAAAAATGTGTTGTTTTGTGCTACAATTAAAAGACAGAGATACATACAAAAGTAATTTTTTTGTAATGAGACGTATGTTTACTTAAACTATTTTCTATTATTACATTTTTATTAGAATAATATTTTAATATAAACATATGTATATTTTAGGAGAAACTATTTTACCTAAAGGAGCTGAAACAATTATGTCTATATTACATATGCATCGAAATGAGAAACATTGGTCGAATCCCTTGATGTTCGATCCAGATAGATTTCTTCCGGAAAAAGAAGAGCATTATTCAAAATATTTCATGCCGTTTAGTACCGGACTCAGAAATTGTATTGGTAAGCATGAATAAATAACAAAATATCATGATAAAATTGTTTTATATATAATTAATAAAATTGCAGGTCGGAAATATGCGATGATTTCTATGAAAGTCATTCTAGCAACATTGATACGAACGTTTGAATTTAAAGTAGATAAAAATATCAAAATAGATGAAATAAAACTTAATACAGACATATCAATGAGTACTGTAGATCCTCTGAAAGTTAAAATAAAAAAAAGGGATTATTAAATTTAACAAATGTAACAATTTAGGTTAAAAGAATTATGTAAATGGGAAATATGAGAAATAAAGGGTGAAGTATATAAGTGAATTATTATACAGAGGGTACATTTTTTTCTTCAGTACATTTCATTAAGCAAATGCGAGCAGTGACACAGCAATGTGCCAACAGATTCTATTTCGATTTTATTACAAGTCTATCAAGAAGTTGGAACAACCGCCCTGAATGATCCTAACTTTAACCGGGATGCCTGTATCAGATGCACGTGTTTTCCCGCGCTTAAATATTTCTGACTGTTGACCACTGTTGACAGCTAAAATATCGTAAAGCATCGTATGTATTGAATTCAAATTTATACATCGAATTATTTTGTAATAGGTATTATTATAATTAGTAGCAGTATAGAATAATAATCAAAGTTAGGATAGAAAATAGGTAATTGAATAAGAAAGATTATAGTGGTGTAAAATTAAAGGAGGTTAGAAGAATGATTGACTAGGACACTTGAATAGAAGAAAGTTTAAACAAAGATAGAACTCTAGACAAGTTTATACTCCTGGCGAGTTCTGGTGCTAAAAAACCTACTTAAAGGAGATAAGTTGAAGGCATTCCAAAAGGTAAAAAAAATTATATATTGAATTAATCATTGTTTTATCGTGACTGCATCATTTCATTATACATTGCCTATATTAACGATTTCTATTTTACTACCTTGTGTGTTGTATTTAACATACTATTGTAAGAGGATATAACATAAAGGAGAAAAATGTCTAGCAATAATATTGAAATAAAATCATCCCAAGAAACAATGCAGAAAAAACAAGAAATGAATGGAAGAGAAAGTACAAACGAAGAACATGAGGAGTATCAATATTTACGGCTTATTAGGAAAATTATTGCAACTGGAACAATGAAAAGCAATCGCACTGAGATCAATACATATTCTATTTTCGGCGCACAAATGCGATTTGGGTTAAGAGACGGTAAGTTTTTATCTATGATTGTTAATTATTTTAATTTTTGATAATGTATAAGATATAGATGCTTAACAATTTCAATGACAATTGTATTTATACAGTGCTTATGAAAATTCTTTATAAAATAATTTATAGTAATGTGTGAAAGAAGTGTGAAAGATTTTTATTTAAAGGAATTATTTTATAGGTATTTTCCCATTACTGACCACTAAAAGAGTGTTCTGGCGAGCAGTAGTTGAAGAATTATTATGGTTTATTAGAGGATCGACAAATTCCAAAGAATTAGCAGATAAAGGTGTTCATATCTGGGATGGAAATGGTTCACGGGCTTTTTTAGACTCTTGTGGCTTCACTGATAGAGAGGAAGGTGATTTAGGACCTGTTTATGGATTTCAATGGAGACACTTTGGTGCCAAGTATCAGGATATGCACACAGATTATACTAGACAAGGTATCTTTAGAAGCATTTTTTAAATAGATCTGTTGTTTTTTTTTTTAATTTATGAATAAAAACGTTCATTAAAGTATATAACTATATATATTTATTTCATCAGGAATAGATCAGTTAAAAGAAGTTATTCACAAAGTGAAACATTCTCCTGATGACAGACGTATTATAATGTCTGCTTGGAATCCAACTGACATCCCAGAAATGGCATTGCCTCCATGCCACGCCTTAGTCCAATTTTATGTGAGCAATGGAGAATTATCCGCACAGCTTTACCAGAGAAGTGCAGATATGGGTTTAGGGGTGCCGTTTAATATAGCATCGTATTCATTACTGACTTGCATGATCGCTCATGTTACTGGCTTGAAGGTAAGGGGATCAATTTTCACTTGTATGAACTTCAGAGAAGTCTTGTTATATCTACCTTTATTTTCAGCCAGGAGAATTTGTACATACAATGGGCGACTGTCATGTCTATGTCAACCATGTAAGCGCTCTTGAGGAACAGATACAACGTGAACCACGAGAATTTCCAAAATTAAAAATAGTTAGAGAAGTCAAAAGTATTGATGACTTTGTTGCCGAAGATTTCGAATTAATTGATTATAAACCGCACTCCAAAATTCATATGAAGATGGCGGTTTGAGCTACACGCCTTAAAAACTTCCTTTATAATATTTATAATATAACTTCGTTTATTATTACAAGAAGAATGAAGAAGATTTATGCTTGTGTAAACTGTAAAACTTACATTTCACTGCCAAAACATTCGTAGTTCATAAAATGACGTTGATTTTCTCATTTGGCGTACTTAAAGTAAAAACCAACATACATACTAGATTTTCTGTAAACCAGTATTCATATAATCAGTAATCGGATATATTTGCAATCAGGTGTTCAAGCGCCTGATTCAATTGTAGTACTTTCAATTACAGTATTTTTTTTCGATTTAAGATAGATGTGTAAAAAATTATTTCTAATAACTTAAATTTTTTTTAAACTGGAGACGAAAGTGAATATATTTTATATACTTGTAATTCCCTAGCCCTATATAATAAGACTTTATTTTCTAATAAAAATTATATTTTTAAATGTATCTTAATTATATATCTTCAATACCAATCGCACGCAGTCCATGCAAATCCATCACGATCATTTTCTTTTTTTTCCAGTAAAAATCATCACATGCATATCCCTCAGCTTCTATATCACACAAACGCAACTTCAATCGATTACGCGCAGTACGATCGACAAGCATGGACGATCATAAAAGGCCTTATACAAGCAGTTGCTAAGTGTAACAAAATTATGTAATTCTCGTATAATATGTATAAATTCGATATCCTTCATCTTTTCAATAAGAACAAACAATGGAAATAATTACTTTTGCACTATACACAAAGAATTATTTCTCTAACTTAAAGAGATGCAAATAAAACTTTTGTCGCAAAAATATTTTTCAAAATACATTTTTTTCAACTAATTCCATATTTTATTAATATTTTAATCGGCGTAAATGTATAGCCAAATTCATATGGTATCCTTTATTGTTGAAAGCTATTTTTAATATACAATAGCAATTTTTTTAGGATGTGCAGGAGCAATGAAAGCTCCATTGTGGAAAAGCGGCCTATACAAAATTTAGAAATAACTGTCGATCCCTAATGATCTAAGAGACACCTTATGCAATATTCCATAAATCCTTTTTAGGAGGGGAGATTTTTGTACGTCAAAGGCTAGCACATTTGTACATCGTTAGATTGTGTACTTAAATGATGCAGCTGTTGAGTAACTGCCAATGTTCCGCATTCATTTACTGTTATGATCACCCAGATAACGTCTGCAAAAATATTAACAATTTGTGAAATATGGCTAAATAAAAAATCAATCGTATATAATTTAAAAAATTAATGAATTTAGAGATAATACTTGTAATAATAAACAGAAAGTCAACAATTGTATACAAATAATATTGCTGTTAAGATTGATCATTTTTACTTATTTTAATGATATTCTTTACATGCTAACATTATTAATATAAAGTATTATTTATATAAAATAAACTTCCATAAGATTAATTTTTTATGAGACTTTTATCATTCATCCACTTATTTTTCTATCATTTTTAATTCATATTTCTGAATTCTTTTATCATTTCTTTAGTTTATATTGTACTTTCTTTAGTTTCTTTAGTTTATATTGTATAAAAATACTTAACTTTTAAATTTGTGACTTACCACCAAAATAGATACCATTTGATGTCATCATTCTCCATTTACTTTGATAGACACCGGTTTCGGCTGGACTTGTCAGTGTTACACTCAATTCTGTAGTCTCTTTTGGACCCAACGGCGGAACTGGTATCCGCAAGCAACTCATAGGTATTCCACTAGTATGCTGCAAATGTATCCCACTCGGCCAAGCCTCTGTACCACTATTTTGTACACGCCATGATTTCTGAAAGTTTGTGTTGGGTGGCACAGCTTCTCCCTCGCCGATTGTACTGTCGCATATTAATGTCATGCAAGGGGTTTTGAAAGGCGACTCAAAATCGATGTAGCTGCAAATTGCTGCTTGCAGATTCCTGGAGAATAAAAATTGCATCACAATAATATTCAAGATTGCAGAAAGAAGAGATTTTCTATTACAATACTATACAAATCCAAACAACAGTAAATTCAAATATCTGTGTTTGATGTGATTTTACTTTAAAATAACAACACTCTCCTATCTGTTTTATTGTTTACAAATAATTGATAAAGATAAAAGCAACAATATGATCCTTAATTAAATATTAATACAGTTAATCCATATATATACAAATTCATCCAAATCTATTTCAAATTTTTATAGAATTATGAATTAAAATACTAATTAGAAATTATATAATTGTCAGCACCAATAATTATTGTAAAGAGATCTTTTTTACAGCTATAAATTTTACTGGTCTTTCTTCTCTTTATCAATAAAGTATAAGAATATGTGCATATTTCATTTAAAATATAAACATTATAGAAGTGTATAAATAAATAAAAAACAAGTTTAATTCTATATCTAAGCGATTAAGCATTGAATCACAAGCAAAGTAGGCAAAGTAGGCAAAGTAGGCAAAGTAAGCAGTATGTTAACAGAAAAACGTTAAAGATAATGACACCTGATTGAAAAGGATTAAATGATGTAAGGAAGGATAAAGAGAGACGCTACGTCCTAATTCAGAATAGAAATCCATCAAAATAAGGAAAAATACAAAGCAAAAAATATCTGAGAGAATAGGATTTCCCTGCGGGGGGTAAACATGGCGATGCAAGGTTATGTGCGTGGGCAGTGCACACGAGACGGGAAACGTTTCATGAGATGATGAATTACCAATTGTTCATGTCCAGGAAGAACTCGGCGGTGGTCTCGTTCAGGTGGCTGCCTGCCAGCATCTTCTGCAACTGCTTCACCAGATCGTCTTTGTCTGTAGTACCGAGACAACTGAATTGGTGCAGCAAGTGTTGGTCCAGATCGTTGTCGAGTTGGTCCATGATTGCTGTTTTTCGTCTAGCTCGGCTACTCAGGATGCTCCATGTGACGACTACTCACAACGTACCAACGTGCTACCCTCTCCTTGCGCACCCTTTCCTTCCGCTACCTTCTTATTGTCGTGCTCTCAGTGGTGAATTTTAAATGTCATTCTCCGTGCGACGTTCGACTGTGTACGCTCTATACAATGCACGCATATCTGCGGCACCAGTCCAGTAGTGTGACGAAATTTCTGGAAGTTTGACGCGTAGGCGCCCCGGAAATAGAGGTCTCTTATTTTTTTCGGGTTTCCTATCAAAAATATTCTTTTTTTTTATTTTTAAATCTGCACACAGTGGGACATACGGGATAATCAAATATCACTGCAATTTTACTTTGCTAGTCTTATTATTCAAGATTTAAATATCTCCTTTTTTATAAATTTTTTTACTTTTTTGTACTTTTTAGCGCCTAATTATTTCATTTTTACTTGCATTGAGGAATCTCGTTGCATACATTTTGTTTATATGTAGGGCTCCATAATTTGTTATTACGTTCATACGCAGTACACTCCCTGCGAGAAATTGCTTTTTGCTTTCCGCAATACAGTCCGCTTCAAAAACGCCGCGATAAGCTGTTTCTGGCTGCGCGTGCCACCTTGACCTTGTCAGCATCACGGAAGATAGGAAATTTTTCATGAAAAGCGGATAATGCGTGATTTCATCCGTACACTCTTCTTCATCGCACACGTCGAGGAACTGACAGTTTTGACGTACCGAATGAAACAGCGCAGATTGCAAGCGCGAACTTTCGTCGCGTGCATATTTCTGGTCGGTGTTGATTCACATATAAATGATCATAAAAAATAAATGAAGAACTATAGATATAATATAATTATAAAATGTATATATAGAGAAAATAGTAATTTATAAAACCACAATATGTACAATAACAAATTTATTTATATATTACAGGTTATTGCAGTCTTAATAAAATACATAAGCTACAAATCGCGCGGGATCCTGCAAATTTCAACAATTAAGGATTTTTTTTTTTTTTAAAGATGCTTATTCTATTTTACATATTTTCAAGATAAATGCATTATTGAATAATTGAACATCTTTGAACGATTACATTTTCTTGCTGCTTCTGTCGATATTATTTAGGTGAGACGAGTTCGCTTTTTTAAAGCACAAAATATTAGCATAACGTTTTCCTTATTAAGAACTGTCTCTTTATATTTCCATCTGTAAGGATTTGGAAAGAGTACGTTTGGAAAAAGCATTTTTCAATTCAACATCCCTTGTATGTACAGGACGTCATATATACATCGCACCATCGTTAGGAGCACCAATGCACATGCGTGGGGAACACGGCGCGGAACAGTCGACGTACGAAACAAACGAGTCGCGCGTACCGCGCCGATTATGTAGACGCGCTCCGAAAGCGCTCGATCGCGACGAGAAAAATCGACGGTTTCAGAAGTGTGTTCCGCGCTGGCCGTGCATGATAACGTCGATCGAATTCCACGTGAATCGTGATGGCAGGACTCGTTTAAAGTTGTTGCTAATCCCGAAATCTCGAAGGAGAAGCAATACGTGCGGTCGCAGAAGATTGAAATATTCGTGTCTCGTTCTGACGATGATTTCGCTTCGATTGATAGTTTAGTAGAAATAGAAAAACGAAGTATTGTTCACGTGTTGAAGTATCGTGAGGCACAAATAAAGACAGCAAAGAGCAAGGTAGGAAATGTTCTCACGCGTGAATTGTACGATATCTTTTTAATTGACATATTTCAATATTATAAACTTGTGTAAGCAATGAAGTGTGTTTGAAGAATGCATTATTCTTCAAAATACAAAGCATAATATTTTTAAGCTGATATTGGACGCTAATATCAAATTAATTGTTTTTTAAATAAGGAACAAGCACATGCAAAGTTTTATCTTTAATATCCTGCTCTACGAAAATGGTAGTATAAATAAATAAAGAAAAAAAAGATTTATTCATACTTTACAACTTTTTTTAAATCAGAGATTAAATAAAATATATTCTAAAATTAAACTTTTAAGAATTTATTACAATTTTAATCGCAATAATTCAATTTTTTAATTCAAGGTTTAACTTTACAGAATAAATTTCTACTACAATTCTTTTGCTGCGCCTATCTTTTTAAAGGACGATTTATTATCCTATCCATTTCATGTTCATCGATAGCTTGAAAATCGACAGGATGATTGGACCATCATCGGGAGCGGCTGGCGAAGTTGCAGAGAATCAATGCCGCGCTTCCTCCAAACGGAAGGTTTTTGATGACCTGGATATTGACAATTCCAAGCGGAAGGTTTTCGACGAGCTGGACATTGACAGCTTCTGTGAGGAAGTCCGCCAGACGAGCCGTAAGCGCTACCTCCAGGAACTCGAGACGCCAGTGGAGCTGGTTACCGCGCCGAATGAGATGATTGCTAACGCGGCAGCTCTTTTCTCGCCGATGTCCGCTCAGGAAGCGGTCGAGGAATCGCCGGTGGCACGTCTGGAAGTATTGCTGGTAGACGGCACCAATTGCACTTGGACGACTGTATCGGAGTTGGAGCAGCAGCAGAATTTAGATATTCTTGTAACTTCGTCCTCTTCCTCGTCGTCGTCGTCGTTGGCTTCCGGATGCATCGAACGTCATTCTGCTGAAAACTATGCCGTCGAGGCGACTGCTAATTATCAACCAGCAGTGTCAGTGAATTATTGGGAACCGATTGCCGCACCCACGGTACCGCTCGCCAATTCAAACGTGCAGCAACATAAGGGAAATATGACAAACAGCAATCAGCAGCAACAGCAACAGCAGCAATTCGAGGATCAGGAGAACGGGAACCTATCATGGCTGCTGGACTTCAAACTGGATTCGTTCATCGAAGCTGCGGACGATAAGTCCACCATAGGACTCTCGACAAAGGACAATCATGGTGAGGAAAGTTTCAGAACAAAATAAACTAAAATAAATAAAAGGCAATATAAATGTGTGTTAATATTTTTGTAAATTAAAGAACTAATCTGATTGATTTTAGCGTTAAAATTAAAATATATCAAATCGCATAAAGAAAGCAAATTTTACCACCGCCTTATGTTGAAATGCTGATAAACTATATATGTTAAAAAGCGGTATTTTAAATTTTATTTTAATTAAATTGCGACAAATGTTTATATGTACCGTTCACTAATTAACTTTATAGTTTTGCGACTAATTGCGTATTTTCAGGCAACAAAAGCAAATCGAACGGACGGTCGCACGGCTCCAATTACGCCGGCGATGTCAGAAGAGGATACGGCAATCACGAAAATTCATCAACATATAGACAGGACTCAAATCAGGCTACTTATCCTGCCAGTGGAATCGACAACCGGAATGTTTCGTCTGTGCGATCGAACGGACCGAAAAAGCCGCCCTTCACCTACACGGAATTGATAGAGCACGCACTGCAGGAAAGAGGCGAGCTCACCGTCTCTGCTATTTATCAATGGATCTCGTAAGTAATCAGCGTCAAAATTTATTGTTGCTATCAATCGAAACTTTGGCTTCCTTTCTGTTGGGACAATTTGCCGAAATTACTGTTCGTAGCCGGCACTGCAATTACAATTGCACGTCTAATTAGATATATTAATTGATTTCAATTCTCTTTTTATGTTTTTACATTTTTCATATTTTACTCCTTTAAGTTCGCAATTTACGGGCGGAATCGCAATTTAAGAGCAATCACAATTAAAATCATATGATAAGATGTCAAAAATCTAAGAAGGAAATGTTTACAAATTGCATTTCTCAAATATACAAAGTGTCTTTCTTATTTACGTATTAGCCGCGCAGGAGATTTTCTACGAATTTACAGGAGCAAGTCGGGGGTGAATCGACGAGGGTGGGCTGGTTTGAGATGGTACCTATTGGTACCACTGCCCCCGTTGCTTGGCACCACCTGGCACTAAACTCCTCACCCTCCGGCTATCCTTCGCTGCAGCCCTCAACACGAATGCGCACAATTTACTGCTCCCTATACCTTCACCTGTTCGATCGTCGCTCGAGCTCCTTGGAAAAAACATATATAGATCATTCGGGCTTGAGCAATTGAGCAAAAGATCCAATAACTCTAGACAGACACAAACCTATAAATATAGGCATTAATTTATTACATTAAAAATATGATTTTTTCACATTATTCGAGATTTTGATCATGATATATTCAGACTTAAGCCGATATTGTTTTCAAAGAGATTGAAGCAGATATTAAATAAAATACCCGAAAGGGAGTATTTAAAGAATAATCTTGACAGATTTTAGATGATGGGATTATTTTTTTAATTATATTGATTTCGTAGATATTTGATATGAAAAGTTAAAGACAGATTTGTTAAACTTTCGGTAAGTGACAACATTCGTCGCTATTATCGTGATCAGTCGAGGGTAAACACGCCATTTAGCATTTCAAATATATCTTTTCTCTCTCTCTCTCTCTCTCTCTCTCTCTCTCTCTCTCTCTGCTAAAATGCCTTTCATTCTCTACCGAAACTTGTGAAATTAATCGTAGGGGGTGCGTAACGCACCGTGACATCGCTACGAGCAGGTGAAGGAAATTAGTTTCGCAGGGACGTAAATTGCCAGCACGCGTTTTTATAGTGTAATGTCCTTAATCGCGTTTCCTTCAATTTACCTACGTAAAAAGAGTTCTTTTTATTATAATTACTAATTTAAAATTTAACATTGTTTTGGACGCAAGTGCATGTTTTATATTTATTGCACAGCTTTTAGATTCAAACATATAAGAAAATATGAAATCAGGATACTTCTATCATTTTCAGCGAGCACTTTCCTTACTACAAGAGCAACGATGATCGCTGGAAGAATTCTGTCCGACACAATCTTTCGATAAATCCGCATTTCCGCAAGGGATCGAAAGCCCCTCACGGAGCTGGTCATCTTTGGGCAATCGCGAATCGTGGCGATTGCAGACCTCGTCCGCTTATTGTCAACGACGTAACATCGGCACGACAAGCTTCGCAAAATGAGTGCGAAGAATCTCAGAGTGACGAAACTATCATTAGGTAAATCCCGATGCAATTCTTTGTCGAGTCATGTAAAACATTTTAACGCGCATCGATACGATTTCCACAATTTCGAATTGAACGTTGCAGTGAAATCGTGGATGAAGTGGAGGCTGCGACGGCAAGTATCACGCAGCCGAATTCTGAGGAGAACACTGACAGTATCCTGAATTCCGTGACGCTCGAGCATTCCGCCGAGCAAATACTCAATGGTATAAAACGTCAGGTAGAAGTGCAATATCTAGTTCCCATGATGGTGAACAGCAACGATCACGAGGCGAATCAGCAGAATCAGCAAACTACGCAACACACGGAGCTTCAGTGTTCTTTCAAGGATAGCGGTGATTATCGTTATAATCTTTTTTTCCAGACAAAAATTTCAAAGGGATCAATATTCATTTTTGTTGCGAGAAATTAACGTACAAATAAATTTGCAGATTTCCTGAATCCGGTTTCTAAGGAAGTCGTCGCCGAGGAGTGTGGTCTCATAAGCGAAGGATATCTGGTCACGGATCTGAATCCAAACAGCTTGGGATTGAACGTGGTCGATCCTGAAATTATAGGATCGGAAAATCTCTTCGGCGAGGAGCTGAGCTTTCAGTTTTACGAATTAACATCGTCGTCGCAGCTGCAATCCGCCTGACACGCGGAAGGCAACAAAGTACGTTTCATCGTGATCGACGAGCTTAAAATAGAGAATACATGGACGTGCGACGATGACAATCGACCGGTTCGCAGTGCCGCTGAAACTGATAAAGATATTTCAGAGCGAGAAAATTCGCAAAGAAAGTCGTTTGTCAGCGGCGATCAGGATGGGATGTGCACAACGAGAAGCTGATCTAATTTCGCGCTATCGGAAAATTTTTACAATGTTCAAGGATGTTCGATCATTTTAGTCAACGCGGCTGCTAAAATAGTTAGGAATTAGCTACTGGTTAATCAATAAGCTTCACTGAATGGATAATGAGTCAAGCGCAAATATGAGGAAATCATGTCTTAAATTTGATGCAATGTAGTTCGATGGTTTATAAATGATTGCGGTGATCGCCAAAAGACTTAATACGGTCAGAGTAAGATTCGAAATAATTAATATAACTGCATGCCGTCCAATGTGTGCCTGGTCTTAAGCGTCTTAAGAGGAGTATCATTTAACAACCTATGCATTAGAATAATTTCTTCTAGTCCTTTGCGAAACAGTGTGTAATGTTTTTGTATTAGTAAGAAAAAGTACGATATTTATTATTATGAGTGTATATTGTCTCTGACATTTGTATTACGCCCGCGAATAAATGTGAGATATCCATTAGAACGTTTTTACTATAAAGTACTATAAAGTACGCTTCCGTAATAATACGAAACAAAAAAGAACATTTGAATATCCTTTGATCATAATCCATTTCACTGTGCGACGTCTCGTAATATGAGAACGCTAATTGCTTAAATAAAAAATAAAGGAAAAAACTTACGGTTTAATCACATTGGCCACACATGCACATTCTACTTTAAAATAATTGCACCTAAAAGAAAACAGAATTTATTATTCTAATTATAAATTTATTAGCTATAAAATTGAAACATTTTATATTTTACAAACAAAAAGCTATTATTCTACAGATTTCGTAGAGTCAGTTGTTTGTTCTTGACTCTCGGTTTCGGATAATTCGTGAGTTAAAAACTTCTCCAGCCTTGCTTTCTTCTTAGCATCTTTCTTTTTCTTCTTCTCTTCTTTCTCTTTCTGTGCTAACATTTCCTTAAATCTTTCATCATGAGACGAAATTCTGAAGCCAAAGTGTCTTCTGACTTCTTCCAGCAGACGTTCTTTACGCAATTTAGCAGCCTGCAGAGCTGCTTCTTTCTTTGCTACTTTTGCATTCAACTCAGCCGTCCATTGATTCATCTTTGCCAGTTTCTCCATTATTTCAGTTTCCCTGTAAGCATATATATATATATATATATATATATTATATATAAATGCATTATTTTAAATTATCAGCAAGATTGCATTTAACTATTGAATAATATAATAAAAACATGCCTTATTTTAGCTTCTTCAGCCTTTCTCTGTTTCTCCAGCTCCAGCTTTTTCCACCTCTCTTGAAGAGATAGTGGGAAAGCAACTGTCTCATATTCTTGAGCATTTTTTACTTCTTTCTGCGTAGGCCACGCAAATCCCACCGGTTCATCATTGCCTTTCAATCCATATCTACCCAGCATACGTCTCTTGTATTTTACAGTATTATGAAACCATTCCAGAGATTTGTTGTAAGGACGCAAACCCATAAGAATGTTTCTATCGTGCGGACTCAGCCGAGATTTGTTTCGTTTCCTAGCGATCTCTTCCTGTACCTGTGGATCATCCATCATCGAATACACAGGTTCCTCATCGGCAGTGGTTATGTCGACTGTTTCATTTTTTGACACTTCTGTCGATTCCGTAGCAAGAAGTCTCCTGACAAAAGTGCCTTGAAACCGCGTGTTTCGATGAATGAAAACATCGCAGATACGTGTTAAACTCATCGCAACATCAATTCGCCGCATGAAACGTGTGATCACTGCACAATTTACGTGGTTAGTTTTATTAAATTAGGTTAGGTTAGGTTAATTACAAGTTAGATTACAGTTGAATTAAATTAATCAAATATACGCAATGTCTATGACATAAAAAGGCAAATGCATGAAAATCGTTAAATCTTATAAACAGACATAAACAACGGTTGTAAACACGTTTTTGAATAATTTTTTAGCATATCGAGTAACAAGTGCATATACAAATATTCAATACATGTAAACATGGAAAATTTCTTTTTCGATGTTGGTAGCCAGATTTGAGACGCAAATAGCAAGAGAGGTTAGTTTAGGTAGGTTGGGTTGAGTAAGGTTATATTAGGTTAGAATAAAAGCGGTATTGATGCGTATGTAACACACAACACGTGAAAATATAAGTAACGATGGAAAATCGTCTTTCAAGGGTATGTTAAATAATTATTATGATTTAAAATACAAAATTATACCTTATTGTTAATTACAAATACAGTTACCAGGAAATCATGGAGTCACATTCGGAACTTTTGTCTTCGCCGATGAAGGACACACTTTAGGAAATGCACTCAGATCTGTGATACTTGATTAGTATGTATTATTTAAGTGTTTATAGATAATATTTATAAACATATAAAATAAATTAAACTATTTATTAATAAAAGATTTTTTTCTAAATAAAATTCTATTTTTTGCAGTCCTGGTATAAAGATGTGCAGTTATAATGTGCCACATCCTGCAGAAAAGAGGATTCATTTCACCATTTCAACAACCGGTGAAAACGCAATTGAAGTATTGAGAAGGGGTCTACAGGATCTTGAAAAAATATGCGATTATATGATTGAGACATTTGATAAGGAATATGAGAAACATAAATTTTCACAAGACATATCTATGGACACTACATAACATGATCAAAATTTTTTTATATTTATAATGTATTATACAAATAAGTTTTTAAATAAAATAAAAATATATATTACTAATAAAGTATACCTTTTTAAAAGAAATGTTCTGTCTAAATTTTTTAGTGAAATATGAAAACTCTAAAAATAATTTAAGAAAGAAATATGTATGTGAATGTCTTAATTAAAAAAAATTAATATCTTAAAGTATACAAAGCTTTACCTTTCAAGGGACCAAAGGGAGTAAAATAATGACACACATTTTATATTTTTTCAAAGCATTTCCATGGGAGCTGGATGTTTATTTAAACAACCTCTGCTGCTCTCGCGCCTCCTTTGTGAGTCTTTGACAAATAATCAGCAAATTCTTGATAGGGCGCCTTAGCCAGAGCCTGTTCTTTCCATAAGTCAGGTGTAAGATACGCATATGTCTTAGCAATTGCAGCATATGTGGCTTTGGCGAAATTGCCGAGGGTGCAGGTAGATCCTCTGGCCGAGGTGTAGCAATCCTCAATACCAGCCATCTGAAGCAACTTCTTGGGAACCGGAGCGGATACAATACCAGTACCCCTAGGCGCTGGTATCAAACGCACTTGAACAGATCCACATTTGCCAGTCACTTTGCAAGGTACCGTGTGTGGTTTACCGATCTTGTTACCCCAATAACCACGTCGAACGGGCACAACAGAAAGCTTCGCCAGAATGATAGCACCGCGAATAGCAGTAGCTACTTCTTTGGAACACTTTACTCCCAATCCAATGTGGCCATTACTGTCTCCAATGGCAACAAAAGCCTATAAAAGACATTCAAATTCTTGTCATATGTATATTCTCGCAACATTGATTAATCAGTATTAAAAGTAAATTTTTAGCTCGCATTTTTTATCAATATTATTGTAATGTCTAACAAAAAGCTCCAAGTTTACCTTGAAACGTGTACGCTGACCGGCTCTAGTCTGCTTCTGTACAGGCATGATTTTCAGAACTTCGTCCTTCAAATCAGGTCCAAGGAACTTGTCAATGATTTCATACTCCTTGATGGGTAAAGAGAACAGATAGATGTGTTCGAGAGATAGGATCTTTCCATCTCGAACCAAACGACCCAGTTTGGTAACAGGAATCCATTCCTTACTGTCTTCTTTGCCGCGTCCACGGCCGCGTCCCCTACCTCTACCTCTACCTCCACGGCCTCTCAGACCTCCGCGATCGCCTCCTGCTCCGCGAGAGCCAAAACCTCCACGAAAGCCTCCACGTGCGGCTGGAGCAGCGTCCGCCATTCTATAATTAATTAAAATGTTATAAATTTTGATGCCAAAAGTCATTTCTATCATTTCCATATAAAAATCTTAATTTATTGAAAGTATCGCTAATAGTCGCTGTTTCCAATCAATAACCTTTACACTATGATTACCATAACAGTGTAACAAAATTATTTTGCGATTTCTACTAATTACATAAAGACAAAGATTACGTTACAATTTTTTTATATTTTATTATATAATCTTGATGTTTAAAATAATAAAGGCATGAAGAATATCCCCCCACACACAAATGTTAGTTTGTCAATCTAACCTAACAAACGGTGCCAACACGTGGCGTTTAACAAATTACTCTGAGTCGCGATAAAACTTTGTACAAAAGCGTTCATTTTTTAAATGTTTTGTATGGCTAAACGAGGAACGAGCAAAAACTATTTTATTAATAAATATACTCGCGAAAGAACTACAAAATTTCGGAACTTTACTCACGTTACTTCTTTCCTACGCGTAAAATTACGGAAGAAAGATCAGTAAAGCTGGAGTTTTTGATTGCCTCGAGATGGCGTATCTGACATTGTATGACGTCATGTCCGGTGTTTCAAAAAGATAGTGCGAGAGTACCAATATATAAGGATATGATTAAATATATATTTTATTTAAATAAAGCAACTGTAAAATGATATTACAGCAATTATATTTAAAATTAATTTTTTCATAATTAGTGTAGTAAAAAATACTATGTAACAATATATGTTTAAAATTATAATATAAAAATTTTACTTTAATAGAAATATTTTTCATTATTTTCATAATAGTTTTCAGAGGAAAAAAAATGAGGAATTGAAATTTTATTTAATTTATTCAAGCAATTTATTCATTAACATTATATTGTAAATTTATTTATAATATACAAAAATAGAAGTTTCTTTATATAATTTAACAATTTACCTCTCTTTCTGCCTATCACAGAATATTTATTTATTATTTAGAATATTTTTAAAAGTTTATTTGTAGTATATTAAAAATAAAGAGTGAATTTTATTTTCTTCGTTATTTAACCTTTCTACCTTTTATATATACAGATGTTATATTACGATCATCGCCAGAGTATATAAATCTCTGAAGTTTCTCCTCTAATGTATATTCTTGAAAATTATCCAATAAGCTATCCTTTGCGTTCAAATTTATGATGAGAGCATCAAATTCTTTGCCTGGCACCAAGTTACCGACTTTATCCTCAATTGAGAGTGCTAAATATAAAAAAAATATATATCATTGCATATATAATTATAAAGAAGACATCACATATATATCAGTATATAAAACAGTATAATAAATGATGTCTAACTTTACCTTTAGCACTTCCCAAAGTTGCCATATGAAAAACATCTTTATAATTAAGTGGTATATAATCATCCTTCATAACAGATAGAGAATTTGATACTTTCAAAACCGATCTTATTTCTTCCAGCATATTATAACTTGATCCACCTGATATATCTGCAAAATTTATTTATTAGCGTAATGAATATTATCAGTTAATTTTCAAGTTGTAATATCAAAATATCAGTCTTAGTATAAAATTTCTGCAAAGCAATTTCACCTGTTCCAAGACCGATTTTGATATTATTAGCTCTCAGTCTTTGCACATCGCAAAGACCGCTTCTCAGATGTATATTTGACGATGGACAATGAATTACAGCTGTTCCTCGTTGTTTAAGAATCGCGAGTTCACTGTCTTCAAGATGAACTCCGTGTGCTAGCACCGTCTGCAAAAAATTGATTAATTATATACTTTTTTAATTAAAATAACTATATTCAATCCAGATAATTATATATTTTTTATATGGAAGAATAACATTTTTTACCTAAAAGAACATTATAAAGTATACCTTATTGGTAAGAAGACCAGCAGCATCATAAACAGCTGTGTATGAGGACTGTTCTGGAAACGAGTTTTTCACTGCTTTTATCTCATCTTTATTTTCAGAGACATGACTCTATTAAAGATCTTGCATTAATATTGTATGATACATTAATGAGTATATATATATATGTATATATTATGCAAGTGAAATACCTGTATATGTAAATCTTTTGCTTTAGCAATTCTTGCTAGCTCTTGCATCAATTTCATATCACAGCTCAATGCAAATCTTGGTGTGATAACTGGTCTTACAAGCGGATTCTACAAGAAATGAAAAAAAAGACGTTTTTGCAGCATAAGATTTTCGATTTGCATAAAGAAAAAACTGTTATTTTATCACAGGCATATGCAAATAAAATATGAGTTTGAGTTTACCCCAATTTGTTCAACAGCTTCTATGAAAGCCATGGTGTCCTTAATTGATTTTTCAGTGCTTTCATAATATTCATCCTTACGCGGAGTGTTCATATTTACTTTTCCAATGAAAGCTCGTTGACCCATCTTAGCAGCTTTCTTTGCAAGAATCAGAGACGCATCGGAATATAGAGATGCAAAATAACATGCTGTTGTTGTGCCTGTTTGAATTGTTCGTTTCTGCAATAATTTAACATAATAATTAAAAGATATATAAGAATTTAATTCTATATATGTCAACTGATTATATATTTCCATACCAGAACTGCTTCAAATACTTGCTCCGCAAATTCTGTATCATTATACTTTTTTTCCAGTGGAAAAGTATAGGTCTCCAGCCAATCCAAGAGACATTTATCATAACCCAGGCCAAGATTTGGAAACTGAACCGCGTGTATATGGCAATCGATAAATCCAGGTATTATAAATTCTTCATGTGATAAAATACAAACTTTATCTACATCATAATCTGCGAGAAAATCTGTCATCTCTTTGTGATTTGTCAGATTCTCCACAACAGTAATAATCTAAATATTGCATAATATATAAATATTAACATTAGTTTTTCGTTTTATCTAGATTATTTAAAATAAATTATTAATAAATCAAAAACATTGCAAAAATATGTAGAAAATATAATCAAATATAGTTACCTTGCCATCTTCAATAACTATAGCAACATGTTTCTTAATTATCAATTCTCCATCTTCTTTTGTATGAATCAATGGGCCAATAAAAACTTGTTGAACCATTCTGCAATTCTGAATATATATATATATATATATATATATATATATATATATATATATATATATATATATTATGTTATATATAAATATATAACTTTATCTCTGAAATAACAATAAAAACTACATGAATTGTCATAATTTTACAATTCCATCATTTTCTCAGTTTTAAAATATTGTAAAGAAATTTTTTATAATATTTACGATTATTGTAATTTTAGTAAATAAATTATATATCATTAAATTTTTTGAACTCAGATGTCTTATATCAACAATTTTAATAATTAATGTAACACCAATAACAAAAACATGTATAGAATGCTCTACTGACTCTGAAATGGATTAAGTGACAATCTATATACTAAAAAAAAAACAAGATCTCGAACAACAAAATAGTAGATTCAACAATACGAAAATAAGTTAGAGATTATAATACGAGATACGTAAAGTAGAAACAGTTTAGAACATGCATACTCACTAACAGGCTAATGTTAAAAATTCGATTGAGATTATACGTACTGAAGAGGGGATCACGTGAATGATAGAAACATTTGTAACTTGAAACAAATACACAAAACGTGCACGTATATCTAGCAACGGCCTAAAAGCCTACTTTTCTAGTCATATTTTTTATATATCAAGAAAAGGAAGCAGAAACTGAGTCTGTCCGAAAAAAATGTTGCTCACCTCCCGCTTTTTTTTATGATGTTACCGCAATTGAACCAGATTGAACGGAATGCTGCGAGATATAGAGATAAACTCCCTTCCACGTTAATGTCAGACACAGACACGCAATCCTAAGTCATGATGCATGAATATATAGATACGATATAGTGTATTATGAAATGAACCGGATGTATATACTTCGAATGCGAAGGCACTCCTGTAGCAAAGTTAAGTGAAAATAAAATCTCATAAAAAAATGCTTATATTAAATTGTTTTCCAGTTTCTTTATTAATAAATATAACGTTTCTAAATATGTACTTTTAAATTTAAAACAAATTTTATAATTTAAATATCTCAAAATGTCTTGACAAAGTTACATAGATATTATACAAACATATTAATCTCTACTGTTTTATATAAATATAATTTATTGCCTCAACTAAAGTTTTTTAAACGCTTCTGATTTCTCACTGTAGTTGTGTCGAGAATTATAATGACGGAATAGAGAAATTATGTGAATTTTTCTTTACACTATACATCGAAATAAATACACTTTTCTCGTACATTAATATCTCAAAAGCCTTTTGACGCAATTATTGTATTCGCAGCTACAGTACGACCTCGTTGGAATGTGGACGCACTTGCAATTATTTTGTTCACCTTTTTCAGCGTTATGTTACAGTATGTATATACTTAGTTCTATTACTTATTTTATTAGTCAGAAACCGCGCAGAGAGATTGTGAAAATCACATCGGATGAGGCGCCGCGTTTCTTATCTGAACGTAATTGCTAAAAATCTGTTCGATGGGCCATCTACTTAACGGGCCGTTGCAAGTGTTCATCATCGATATTCCTTGATTCACGAAAAAGCCGAGGAAGAAAAATAGAAAACCCCACAACATTGTACGCCATGGTACGCTTCTTAATCGGAGAGGTTGCGACAATGTTGTGCTGAAAACAGAAGTTGTGTCAACAAATGAGATCTTAATTAAAACATAAGAAATTAAAGGCAATTACCATAATCTATAGTTCGGATTGGTGTCTTTGTTGACGGGGAGAACTACGGGAGAAGCTTCCTGCTTAGCATTCGTCCAAATTTCGTCATCAACGATCGGGCAATTTATTATATTTTGGCTATTGGAGTGATTCAGTCGCATGTTGTTATTTTCCTCCCTCGAGCTACGCCGAGATTCGGCCTGCTCGAAGATACCTCGTAATTCGCCGATGCTGTTAGAACTACTGTTCGACAAAATAAAAAATAAAAAAAAAAACAGCCGATGTAATGCACAAAATAACACGTTTCTTAAGATATTTAATCAATAATAATAATAATACTGACTCGGTACGATCCAGTTTCTCATTTTCCCACTTCGGAGATTCGGAACTGACAGACGGTCTCCTGAGAGTCATGCGTCCGGAAACGGAATTTCGTTGCCTCGCGGTATCCTATGTCGAACACAATAAGGCAAAAATGTAGATAACACAGCGAGTATAAAAAAGAAAGCAGGCAAGTTGAGTATCATTGTGTTAGTAGCATGAAATGTAAGAAAACTCTCAGCTGAAATACTATAACTGTAAAAGTGAAGATTCGAAGCTAAAACAATAAAACAAAATAAATTGCCTTTGACATGTCCTGTGCGTTGCCGAGCGGTCGAGACATTGTGGCTACGCTAGCTCTCCTCCTAGCAATCTAGAAAGAAAAATCGACGAAAAGACGTAACGATTAATCGATGAACCGAGATAGTGAAAGTGCAAGCGTGAGTGCGATCGATAGAATTTCTGCGAAATCGTGCAATCGTGCGAAAAATATTGTGGACAAAGCGACAAAATAGCGAATGTGACAAATTTTTAATGTGTGACGAAAAAAAAAGAAACTGATAAAAGTAGCAATAGAATCTGTATTTTCGAACCATTATACGATTATTGGCGGATGTGCCGCTCCTGCATCTGATGCGAGGCAGATCATCGCCGAGCTCACCGGAATTCTCCTCTATCACGATATTGTTTTCTACCAGGATCCGTCTGGAAATGAATAGCGCATACTGTCACTGATATCATCGCGTCGCTCCGGAAACAGGAGGCAGGGAATTTTATACACTTAACACTATTGCGATACTTCACAAAGAGAATATTTATCTCGAACTGCTATCGCTAGCCAATTAACTGAACTACTGGAAACAAGCTTGCAAACAATTTTTTATGCACAACAGGAAACCTCAAAACAATATATCTCTAAAGCTCTGAACGTTGAGCCGAGGCTCAAGATACAAATTGAACGAATAGCGAATAAGAGGAAGATTATAAATCTGATCCTCACTTCGTCTCAGCGACGTTGGCGGCCAGCTTTTCGCATCGAGAGTGCAGAATCTGGAGGTACCTGTCGGCCAGCAAAACGGCGCGGGAAACCCTACGTTCCTGGTGCACAGCGCCTAAAGTCTCGGCCGCGCAGGACACTCTGTGCGCGCACCGCGCGATCATGTCCAACTGATGCCTGACCCGCTCCACCCGCTCCACGGATTCCCTGTCCGTGCATAGTGGCGCAAGTTCCTGGCGTTATGCAAAATTCAATCCCTTCAACGAATCGTGGAGAGAACGACTACTAGTTAACCGGTAAAAGTGACGCGGACGAGTTACGATTCAAACGAATAACAGGATCTCTATTCGCATACGATATTGAACAAGAATTAATAAGCGACGAGATATTTTTGTGGTCGCTTGCCTGAATAGCCTGCTGCATTCTCTGCACCTCGCAGACGAGATTCTTCTCCGTTTGATTGCGCTGCCGAAGCGACATCGACACCCTCTGCGGCAGAGTCACCCTATCTGTGCAGAGGCACAGCGAGAACGCTATGTACCTCTTCTACAATAAGAGCAATCTTGTCTGGCGTAACTGTTCAATGAAAGCGTCTCGTAACTTTTTGTATTTATAAAGCGCGTTTAGTTACCTGCAGTTCGAACTCGCTCAGGTTCTCCCTGAAAACAGAATTATTCAACGGTGAATTAAAGCCATTGCGCAAACCGAACATCGCGTGTCGATTTTCACTCACTTGACGTCCAAGTCCGTTTCCGACAGGTTGGCTATCCCGGATTCGTGCAGACGACTGTCCGTGAGACTCGGGAAGACTCTGGTTTGGTCCGAAGGTGCACTCTGGAGTTTTCCATTCTGCTTGCAACGGCACTCCGATCGGTCGCTACTTTCACCCTCCGAAATTGCTCTCCTGGTCATCAAGAGTCGCTGTAAGCAAAGACGTTTTTTTTTTTAAACAAGAACAATGCGAGTTTGTGTATGCTCGTCGCAAGTCTCTCCTTTGCAAAACTAACAAAGGTTCGTAAAAAAGTCTCAGGATGACGGAAGAAAATGCACGCGGAACGTGTTAGCTGTTGACCGCTGTCGATTAACAATCACTGCATACGCAAGATTAGGGGAGTTCATAATGATAAGAACAGTTAACTTGGCACAGATCGCACTTGCAGTGGTAATGCGACCTTCGTTCTCACGGATTGCCGGCGTTATCACATCACGTTCGGATAAATACTGCCGCGGAAGAGAACAAGAAAAAGCCGCAAGCGGTAAAGCGCGCTCCAGCGTTAATTGTAACACAAAAGCCTCGGAATAAATAATTACGGATGTTGAAAAGCGCGAGATCCCCCTCGATAAGACTCAATTGAGGGAGATGATTATTATTATGCCGTCGCTTTGTAAATGATTAATCGTTTACGAAGTGCGTCAACAGGTGAGGAGAGTGGCGGATAACAGGCAGCATTTTCGGCGGTCTTCTCTCCTCGCTTTTCCACTAATATCTGTCGAACGTTTACGCGGGCACCTAAAGGCAAATATTATTTCTCGTATCAAACGAGATAGACCGCCGGATGTTAGAAGAGGCATGTGCGTTGTGATGTTACCGCACTTCGATGTAATATTTATAACTCCGCGGTATTCCGGCGGAATCTCTCGATAGTGAAGTAATCTCTCTGGACTGCAAAAAGTGCGGGAAACACTTTATCGTTGACGATGTAGCTCGATAAATATTGCTCGTGCGCAAATCTTTTCATTTGCATCATTTGCGCCAAGTTATTTGCTCCGTGGTATTCCGGCGGAGTCTCTCGTTAGAGAAGTAATCTCTAGAATACAAAAAGTGCACAAGACTATCAATATATTTTGATAAGTGGCGCTGAGCGCTTGGATTCTCCGATAGATCTTCTGTGCCAAGTCATTTGTAATCGATATTCTTTGCCTGAAGGTTTCTTCGTATAATAAAGATATAAATGTATAGTATTACATAAAATTAGCGTTAGATAAGCAATCGAGCTAACAATATTCAGTGAGGAAAACATGTGTACATACAATGTAATTTTGTTTTTGCACATTTGTAATAGGAATGCAAGTACAAAGAGCACGTGAAATCAAAGTGGTCGACTTAATTTAGCACGGAGAGTGATGGAGAAGTCGCTGAAGCTTTGTCGGCCGCACGATCAACGCATAAATATATCGCGGAGACACATATAAGGAAAAAATACGCGAGAGCAACCTTGCCGCCGGGATTTTCGTCGCAGACCCGTAATTACTACAACTATGTCAGTAAAAATTAGTATAACGGACAATGAATCAAGACCAAGATTTATCTCATGACTAGTGAATCTTGCAAAAGAGAATGCAAATACACGTCGATGAGGTATTCATATAAATAATTGGGAAAATAAAGTAAGAAATGTATGCGGTTGAATTTAAATGACGGTTAAAATACATTTCGAAATGTTTCCACAGTAAATATGCGTATTTGATCATATATTTTTGTGACAGAAGGATTTATTTTCACCGAGAGTTGATAAATCGCGTGAAGTAAAGATCTGTCCAGCCGATGACAAATTAATTATCATGAAATGTAAAATAAATTAAGAGAAATTGCGTAAAATATACATAGATGTTTCTTAGGTATTGCATTAAATGATTATAGATTATTTGCTCATTTCCGTATGTAAACATGACCGCGCGGAAAAAAAAAGATACTATTTTTATTTACAAATTACGATAACAAAAGTTACTTCCTTCTGCGTGAGCTACTGATTATGAAAGTGCTGTAAAGATTATTTATCGTTTATAAATATTAATTCTTATAGAAATCTTATAATTATCAAACCAATTCATGGAAATAAACTGCTAACAACGTATTTAATGAGATAAATGATGCCGCGTTAAAAAGAATCATACAACTTGTTTTTCTAACATTTTTTTAGGTGTGCTGAAAACCTGTTTTTACAAGATTTTTATCTTACAATTCTAGCACTTGGAAAAACAATAAAATTGTTACAAAAAAGGAAGATTGAAATATTAAAATGATATGATAAACTGTAAAATTATTTCAATTCTAATATAAATACTGAGAATTGCGTATGTTAATTAGAGGCTAGAGTGATAGCGAGCTTGCGAGATACAATCGCATGCCGGATAATTACGTTTTATATGAATAATTAGTGCCAACTGACCGCAGATTTATCATTGCTCGCCTATCCCACTCCCAACGCAGTAATAATTATCGATATCAAAGAATCTTAACTGAGTGGCTCAATTAATAGTCGCATCACTCAAGACGTATGCGTGTTGAAGAAACATATCAACTCAATTGCTTTGCGTGCAACTGCGATTGAACACTTGTCAATGTTCAAGTTATACGTGTCAGACACGCTATTCTATCCAATTTAATCCAATCCGTCGTAATAGCGCTACAAATTAAATCGCTTTGTTTTTTTCTTTTTTTAAAGTGTTTTTTTTTTTTAAATAGCGTTATAAGAAGCATTATGTCTCATTTCTGAATTACAATTGAAATTATAAATTTATAGTTTTTTCGCCTTACATGTAAATTTTATTTCACATACCTGTCGTCTCCCTTGCTTCACGTTCAACAGGTCCCTGCCGCACGATTTTCCGTCGTTCTGCGCATTCCTGCATGGCACCACCTTTGTAGAAGCCGAATCGCTCGCCGATGTGCGCGATACGGCACTGACTGCTCTATCGGCGTTGTTCGCGACTTTCTCGCCGATACATTGATCACTGGACCCTGCCGCCGGCTCGCATTCGCTGTCCGAACCGGCCGAACTCTCCTCGCGACTCGACATTTGGCTATCGACTGATCGCTCGACTCGCTTCTTGCCGTTGACTCTCTCCGTGCATTCGCTTGAGAGTGGGGATTCTCAGAATCCGCGATATTCGCTAATTTGCCGGGAGAAAATAAAATCGAATTAACAAAGCCTCCGCTTGATGATCCCTTCGAAGAAGAATGTGAAAGTTGAATTTGCATGATTTTTGATCGATATTGTATTTTGATGCTTGATATTCGCTGTATCACTTTCGGTTTATGTACTATTAAATTAATATCAAATATAAAATATAGCAATTCGGATTTTATGCATTTAACTGAAATTGATTAATTGACTCTCGTCAAGATTAATTAAGATTAGATCGTAAGACTTACCACTGGGATGATTGTGTAGAATCAAGCGACGAGCTGACGTTGGGTATTTCTGGGAAATATTCCCGTTCGGGAATTTCGGCTTGAACATCACTTCTACTTCGCGCTCGTCTATAATAATTGAAGATGAATGTACGGCAGCGTCATCTCTCCCGCGTCCGCGGTCAACGATGGAAGACAGAGGAGAGCTCGAAATCGCCAATTCGGGGAAACCTGCAGCGGACGGAGCGCAGTCGGAAACCTCGGCGACTTCGTTCAGCTCGCTTTTAACTTTTTGTGGAAATTTCAAGCGCGTGGGCGCCAAACAGACTTTTCTAACCGACTGACCAATCGACGGTTCATCCTCCAACAGACTGTCCCGAGATTGTTTCTGCGGCGTGGAATTGGTCGAGGAATCGCTGTCGTTCTTTATATTGCGGTAATTCTGATTGAACGAATACTTGAACGCGCCACTCTCGACGTTGTCGTCTCGAATATCGTGCCTCTCGTTGATTTCAGCGGGCTGATCGCAGGACGACTGTCTCATTTTCAGGACAGACTCTTGATCGTCGCGCGGATCTTGCATCAAGTCGAACGAACGGCAATAAACAGAGATCTTTCTACGGGGGCTCGTCGGATTGTTCACGCCGCTCGCTTCCGGTGTTTGGACGCTCTTGGCACTCGTTTCCTCCTCCGACGCAATCTTCGAATTCACTTGCAGGTCGCTTACCTGCGACATTTCACTCGACTGATTTCCCTCAGGATGGACGAAATCCTTCTCAGATGAAATGCGTGGCTCTAAAGTCAACGCGGATTTTTTGTCGCTGCTTCCTTGCGTTAAACCGTCACCCTGCGCGAACGAAACATCGGGAGAATTTGCTCTTGAACTTTGACAATCAGATGTCTGTCGCTCCGAGTCTTTCCTGTTCAGCGGAGATGACTGCTGCGATTGCGGACTCGATGATAATGTATGTATCGATCGATATCTATTGGCAACAAAATAATTAGCTTAAATAACAGTAATTTGATTATTATCGAGAAACTCGTACGTAGAAAAATAATAGAATATTCATGAGATTACATCGCGCGGTCGATTTCTCTCTCTCTCTCTCTCTCTCTCTCTCTCTCTCTTTACATAATGCAGAAAATATATTTCAATACTTCTATATTCCATAAAGAATTTCATGTAACTCGACCTTGAACTTGCAGATGACGACGAATGATCTTTGGCAAGCGTGTTCAAAGTGCTCTCGATAATGTCGTGTAACTCTTCGACGATGGGACTGATGATGTGGGCTTGACTTTTGATGCTTGGATACGTTCTTATAACTTTCAAAAATACATCGTCGTGCGGAGAATCATTATCATCTTTGTCCTCATTCACGCATTGCGGAGTTATTGGCCATAGATTCGTCCCCGGCTTTGGATACAGTTGGCTATAAAATAGCGATTAAAAAAAACTAATATATTTAACACAATTAGGATCTCGAATAAAGGCACAACATTGGACGAACCACAGAGAGTGTACAAAATTGACCGCAAATAAATTTTCGCGCATTACAGACAATTTGTTTCGACATATAACTTGTTTCGATGTATAACTACCAAGCTATTTGTATGCCAACAATAATCGTCAGCAAAACGCGCATTCTTGCGTAATGTACATCTATTAAAATTTTAATAACCTTGGCATTTTTATTCTTAGAAGCGAATCGAATCGAGTAAATCCGAAGCGAAAGAATTGTGAAGAATCTCTTCCTATGCTTTTGCTTATATCGTAAGAAAAAAAAAAAAAAAAAAAAAAAAAAAAAAATTTAAAAATGACATATAGCAGAAAGCAGCGAAAACATTTTCTACATAATCAAAATGGAAATTTATGCGCGATTGTTCTTATTTGGCTTCTCGTATTTTTGCGTTTTTTTGTCCACGTCTGCCCGCAAATGAGGTCAATCTCGATGACATCAACAATTCGTGCGGGCTAATTAGAACTGCATGCATGCTGCATGTGCGCATTGATTTAGCGCGGTGATCATGCCGTTAAAGCGGACAAATCAAACTGTCCTTGCTGTGCGCGCTAATGTCAGTATTACATCAATGCTACCTATGTTTGCATCTCAGGCGCGCGTGTATCACTAATTACTTTTTCATGAGTTACTCGACTTCGTGCGAATCGATCGAAATATTTTCCGTCGAAGTATCTTACGTTCCTTGAGATTCTCGAGGAATTTATTACCTCGCTATTTACTTCGGAACTGTTAAAAAGTCGATCACGTCAGTGCGATGCAATTGAAATCGTTCGGATTCTAGCTTAAAAATTCGATAAAGTCAATCTTATTGCCGCGGGATAATTTCTCAGTGATAAAAATAAGTTGTCGGCCGAACAAATCACTTTTCGATGTGCGGGATGTGATTTTTTTCAGGAATGTTCGGGATGCTGCGCTAACTCTGCTGAGGTATCGACACGCGCGGAGAGAAGGTCCGGAGCGTACTGATTGCACTCGCCCGGTGAAACCAGGTTTCATTGGCGATGCTCGTCGTTTCTCCGCGCGGCGCACAAGGTGATCTCCGGGATGCGTTTCGAGAGAGCTCGGTGGCAATTCTGGTAATTGCTCGTGTGAAAAATATATATTTCCCTGAAACGCCTCGTTATATTTTCAGTTCTAATTGCGCAAAATCGTTTATTGAAGCGAAAAAAGTTAATAAACGTTTAAGAATATTTTCCAATTCAGTATGCTATTGTACTATCAAATGTTATCGATTTCAATCCTCGCGACTTCAAGTCTCGCTAGACATTTTCTTCTCGGCGAAAAATCAATTGGGATTTACGATAAAGTCGTGTTATCGCTTGAACGTATCTATAAATTTTCGCGTCTAATAATGATAAGCACGTGTACTCTAATGTCGCTTTACAATCGGTTTCAACACATCCCGAGTTCCTCCACTTTTTTTGAAGCCAATATCTCGATCGAAAAATATTGCGGGATTTAAATTTCCTGGAAAAAAAAATTACGCACTTATAAATTACGAGAAAATAAAACCAGAAATGCTCTGCAAGCGAATCAGGTTAATCGGCGAGCACTTCTTTTTTTTTGTTGGACCGCGATGGAGCAAGAGCGAATAGGAAATCACGATTTAGGACGAGATTCGGGACAACCCGGTTATTTTTGCGTGGAGTGTCATACGAAGGCGCTGTCATATATGCAGACACGATAAACGCGGGACATGGCTATTTTTATGGGAAACTCTATAAACCCGCCCGCTATGTCCGACCTTGATCCAGATACACGAACGACGATCATTTGCTTCGGAAATTGGGATATTTCTCTCGTTTATGAGACGTGCATTGCTTAAGATTATTGCGTCGATTATTGGGACGTTCGGGCCTTTCTCGAAAATCTCGATTCGCACGCAAGGTCTTGCACTTGTCTACATAACAAGAAAAATTATTCGATATAACAAAGTCGTAATAGACTTTTCTTCCGGGAATTCATAAATCATCTTCAGCTTTTTACACGCAAATGAACAGAACTTTGCACACAGGCGCTCAAGTGGTTCGTTATTGTTAACAAATGATAATGCCGTTAACTTACGCGCGTGTCAGAAACAGGTCCTGGAAACTCGTGACACCATATTGGCCCAAATCTTCGGTCGTATTCATCGAATCGGCTCGAAGCTGCGTGCTCGATTCTTTGGTATTCTTTTTCGTGATCTCTTCGGTCGTCTGTGTAAAAGAAAAACGTAGCTTGTTCGGTTGCTGCTGCTGGCCAGATAAAAGCGGAAGAAGAAAAGAAGAGAGAAAGACCGTGAACGTGAAATTGACAAGCACGCGTATCGCTTTGTCATGAAAATAAACGCTCGCGGCGAACGCGGTCATCTGATGATAATAGAGAGTACAACGCGCATGTCAAGGTAGTCAAGTGCTTTGACAATATCAATGATGTTTGTAGTGAATAAAAAATACCGAAATAAGAAAAAGACCGAATACAACTAACCATATTCAGCAAAAAAGCTACTTTGTGTTTCAATGCTTCGATATTGTAGGCTCTTGCGCTCATATCTTGCGGGTTGAACTGGAGTACGTCATAAGTAGAGCCTCGCATCGCGATAAGAGTCTGTACCACTCTGAAAGTCAATCACAGACGAAATGTAACCAAAAATGTAAACGTAAACAAAACTTCATCCGAATCGTACGAAAGAGTTGATCAATATAAAAAATTAAACGTAATAAAACTGAGATAATGACTTTTCTATCTGTTCCGATATCGTGGAAATTACTGCATCGTATTCATCCAGTTCTTCTTCAAGATCTAGTTTGCACGACTCGTACCTGCTACATTCGGCTGCAAAACCCTGCAACACAAAATGTAAAACACGGAGTGTTTTTATTGAAAACAGAAAACTACTCAAAATTTTTATTACACTTTTTGCCCTTTAATTCGGTAAATTGATGGTCACAATTAATTCAGTATGCGTTAAAAAAGTAATCAAAACAAATGTTTTTACTTACTGAAGCTTTTAATTCCGCGTACAATGAATTTTGTAGCGGCACTTTTTCCGATTTGTAAGGCGTGCTATGCGTACAGCGTCTATCCATGTCGAAAATTGGCGACATCGACAACTATAAATATCGTGACGATTATACTGCGAGAAAAATCATTGTTACATAATTCAAATTTTTTACTACATTAATTGATAATTTACTCTTTCACCAGAATTGTATCCATTAAGAACCGAAATCGATTGGAGTTCCGTGTTTTCTTCCGTAAGCTGACGATTCCTTTCGCGCAGATTCTATAAAGTACGTTTCTCGCTGTACCATTATAACTTATAATTATAATTCTGTGTAATTTGTACATAAATGCTTACACGAATTTTGTATTCATAAGTTTCCCTCATGCTAATGTTTGTACTCTCCAATTCGGTCATTGTAACTTTTAACTCGTTGCACTCATTTTCCTTTTCGTCAAATTTTTCTTGTAGTTTGACAATTTGTCTCAAGCAATTCGTTTTTTCCTTACTAATTTTTTCCACTTTTTCTTTTAAAGATGGTATAGCTTGTACCTATTTATTTACATAAAAATATAAATTTCAAAAATTAGACACAAAGATTTTTCTCGCCACTAAATATCGAGAATTTATTCGGCTATTAGTTCTAAGAAATTATACAAAGAGACGAAATGTGAAAATTTAATATTATAAAATAGAAAATTTTATCTATTGTATAAAATAAAAAGGTTTGTGTTTTATTGTATGCTTCTATACTATAATAATTCAATATTTCTTTGTTACACTGCAAAACATAAAGATATAAATCTTCGCGGTGGAAGTCATAAATAATTCCGCTTATAAATAAATAAATTGCGACTAGTTTTACCTCAATCTCGATGGCTTCTAATTGTTTCATTAAAGTCTGGTATTCTTTCGTAGATTTCTGAAGAGTCAAAGTCATAGTCTTTTCGTTCTTAATCGCCTCGTTCAATTGCTCTCTCTGCTCGTCGTTCTCTTTCTCGAGTTGCTGACACTTCTGAACGTAACGATCTCTGCACCGATAAAATGTAAATGATCTCGCATAAATAAAAGTGCCATGAAAATTTATAGACCGGTGTTGAATTTATCTGCGAATAGTCGAAGCACTTCGGCATTAAATAAGAGATATACATACAACTGTTTTTCGATAATGCTGTGTTGCTGTCTGGCATTGTTGACTGACGCTTCGTGCCGTTCAAGCTCGTCGTGAAGGAAAATATTCTCCTCCTGGAGTTCCCGAAATTTTCACACGGAGCTCAAAATCCACGATGTCCTTATTCGTGTCCATAGTTTTCATTGACGTGTCCGCGTCGTTCACGATGCTGCAATTTGCGTCATGTAATTTGCGTTGTAATTGCCAGTCGTAATACATAGGAAAACAGTTATTATTAATGGCATAACGCACACTTTATATACCTGCATTACGTACTGCGAATACATTTTTTTATATGTATCGCAAACCATCAGAAAAAATGGAATATTTATCAACTTTGAGCAAATCAAGCAAAACCTGAATTAAATGTTACCAATCATGTAAATAAAAAATAACTAAACACAACTCTGCGTGCAACTAATAACACCAATTAAAAGTAAAAATAATAAAAAAATTAATAATAAAAAAAAAGTAATTGCGCATTTAATAAAATTATGTGAGCATTGAGATAAATCGATGTTAAAATAATATCGGCTCTCAATCGCGTATTAAATTCATCTGAAAACAATCTCGTAACGCAGCACGAACGTTTGCTCCTTACGTCTTGTGTCGATCACAAATCATAATCGGTCAAGTCGCGCTATCATAAACGCGCCGGCATCGTGTGAATAAGTTAACTCGGAACTTCCGAGTTCTTCACATTAACCTTACGAATTTACGTTTGTTTATTCGCGATAATAATCAAGATCGCTACATTAAACGAGAGGATCTGCGGGCGTTGCGCGCGTGCGATCGGTGCGTGCAAAAAAGAAAACGTAGTAATTCTAAAAATAAATCGGCCGAGATTTTCCTCTGTTTACGATCGCGAAAATGAGCGTGCGGTACGTCAAACCAGGACCACCAGATATGACCACGAGCGGGCAGCAACTGAACACCTCACACGCGAATTGCATAAGAGATATCGCCGCCGATTTCCAGCTGCCACAATATTCGCGCGGCGTCACGCTGCGCGTGTAACACCTGTGTGTGTCACTTATTCGGTCTATTTGATAATGGAAAAGTATATACAATCAGAATGTACGTTCGATCGTACAAATAACGAAAAGAAAAAAAAAAAGAACAGATATTCTACGGGAACAGTAGTGTGGACTCGAATAATCCACGATGAAATTATACAAGTTTTCAATCTGTTCCTATGATCTACTATCGGTTTCTTTGAAGGTCGCTCCTGCAAAATTTAACGAGCCATATACATCGCTTGCGCTATACGCGTTAAAGTAAAGAAAGTAAACTGGCTCGCGAGAACATTTGCATATGTGCGCGCGTCTGTGTGCGTGTGTGTATGCGCGCATTACGCATATCATGTGCTTATAAAACCGCGAATAATTTTTCAATGTCTCTGAATGGGAGGCAGCATAAACGGCTAGATAGAGGCTAGATTACCCATACGATTGAAGCAGTCGAGCTGCGATAATGTCCTGCTGAATGGTCGAAAAATATCGTCTGCACATGTAGGACGTGTTTTATGTCGTTTTCCAGAAATAATCCGCACAAAAGGTGCCACCCATCCGTGCCGCGAGTTTATTTTGCAGTAAATTTGCATGTTTATGCTGCATCGGTCTTCGATCAATTTCTCTACGCACTCGCACACGCCGTCGCGAGTGTTGTTCTTTTCCCTCTCAGCGTTCCATGTACCGAGTTCACGGTTGAGTAGATTCCGCGTCGTTAGACCGTACACGCGATAGTTTCGCGCGGTGGTTTCTTAATTTACAGCACAATTTAATCTATTTAAAAAAAAAAAAAACCTCGACGAAAGCGTTTTTCTTTTTCTTTTCTGTACCAAACTACTGATTTATTTCACTACATACGCGTAAAAATGCGTTTTCTGTTTACTTACTAGATTTTTTCCTGCGTATTATTATTACTGTCCTGCAAAGGCTGAATCTGCCGCAAGTTGGCGATCCAGCATTTTGTCGCTTCCTTGAATTGTTGCAAATTTACATGGTCGTTCATCGAAACGGTTTCCAAACACTTCCACAACTCCGCCAGATTGTCAATTCTGTCAATCAAAACATTGGTGCAATTATGATTCATAAGAATAATCCTTGCATAAAAATTGATCGACAGCGACGACCGAGAAATTCGTGCAATTTTACAACAATAACGCTAAACGCGAGCAAATGCTGTGCTTGTATTAAATTGTACTTGTGTATTAAAAATGCACAGTTCGACAATGCGAGTTTTGCAAGATTTTTCATAAACTTGCTTTGCGGAACGTGAAAACGTATTGTACCTGAAGTCAAGCGCGATAAGTCGTCGATCGCACTTGTCCTTGTATTGATCAACGGGCATACATACACCGGTAATTTGTTTCAAGTTATCGCGGTCGCGTCTTGCGTTCGACCGCGTGTCAACATTGACGAACGACAACCGTCTGTCTCGCGCTCGCTGAAGAGAATAACATTATTCAGCTGACACTCACGACCAGGTCGGCAATTGTTCCTGGATATAGCTGATGATCTTGGAGATCTGCAGCCCGTCGCCTATCGATAGCGTTAAATCCGGCGTCGACATAGATACGTCGCATTCCATAAATATGTGCTGCAGAACTGGAAAAAGGATTTCGTTTCTGTTCACTTTACGATCGACTCTCGATGATCCACTGTGAGACTGTTGCGTGGGCAAACTTGACTTAATTCAAAAATTCGAAAAATTAAAGGCACGCTACGATTGAAAAATAGTTCATTGGTCAAATGGAGATCTAGAGGTTAATCAAGTTTCAAAAAACTGCTATTAATTAAACTGACAATTTAGATTAATCGAATGGCGAACTACTCAAACGGAAGCTCTCAATGATTTCAACGAATGCCTCGATATCGCACATTGTGAAACTTTTAAAGTTTATTTGTAATTTGACTCACTATTTTCTAATTCAACGTCTTTTGTAACAACTGCGGACATGATTGGAAGCCCTCACAACATTCTGGGAAACATTTGGGGAATGAACAACAAAGAGAGAGATTTCGATCGCGAGTGTGACAGCGAGTTCGCGAGTGAATACGTTCATTAATCGCTTTTAGCACAATATCTTTGAGCACTTCAACCACAGAAAACGCGACATATTCATCATCAGCACTGAAAAGCCGGGTCAAGACTACGACTACCCTCGTTTCATCGATGGAGGGGAACCGGGACAAAGAAGGGTACAACTTCTGAAGTTGTCCGTTTACATTCACCGCGATTCGTATTAGTTGCGGTGCTGATACGGTAGATGGGAGTTGTTTCGCTAATTAATTTCTGCCAGATGGACGATAAACTGCCGCGAAAAAAGATCATTTTGTATCAAAAGAAAATTAGAATCGTTTTTTCAGCTTTATTTTGTTTTTCAAAGATTGAAGTCGGTTATAACTTCGCCACATGTATTTGTTCGCTTCTTTTATTTAAGATGAGTTAAAAGTATGCTCAGTGTTTTGAGAAAAACTGAAAAAAGAAAAACAAATGTTATTAAAAAACGAACGGATTTATTATACATTGCTCACAAAACCAACCTTATCTTCATTAATCCTGTTTCTTATTAAATCTTTCTTATGGATCGCCTGTTTGCCAATTTTATTTTATTTTGCTATTACAAATCAAATTTGTCACGTGATGTTATGTTGCTCTTTGAGTGAAAATGTCTTTTTATCGGGTATAATTAGTAATATAAAAAGTGTTGCAATACATTTTGTCTGTAATAATAATAATAATAACTTTACTTAAGACGTTCTTTTTTTAAATCTTGATTAATTTCAAGTGAGATTTGTTTTAACAGAATTTTAATTTAATTGGAAATTTAAGATAAATAACGATTTTTGTTGAATTTTGCTAAGGAAAAATCGATTAAAGAACTCGCAAATGAAAGTTGAGATATGTCTGAGACATTCTATACGCAGCAAAATATAAATACAATTATGTATTCTTCGCAGAATTTAAATTTTACAATTTATTCTGATTACTTTTAAGATTTAATGTAAATATAGAGGTTTGTAAATAAAAATATTCAGACATATTATTCAAATCATAAACTTATTAATACAATACTATTAATAACTAAATTAAATACTATTAATAACTAAATTAAATATTTAATATTAAAATAGATACAATAATAAAATCAGTAAAATCACTGCGTGCACATTAATTACTTATTTTATATTAATTATAATTACAATTTATCCTATTTAATATATTAATATAAGAGACAACTTTTGTTTTTAATGTACTATATACTACAACATATTTTTTTCTAAGATTCTTCAAGAACAGCAGCAGCTTTCTTTACTTTTTCAAGCATCTCAGGCTTTATTTTGGTATCAAGCTCTACACGTTTCATATTTGGAAACAGATTGTGCATGCGATCACACAGTGATTTTACATGTATATTTACAGATTGTGTATTTATCAAGTATTCCCAAACTTCGCGTTTACATAAACGCAATATTTCAACAATTTGCTCAGTGGTACAAAGTCCCATAATTTGCAACCAATATTGATCCAGACAATGTAAAATCATGCCCATTTGCTCTTGTGAATTTAGCTCTTCTTTTTCTGAATCTAAAACTGATGTACACAAACATATATCGTTAGACAAAAAAATATAAATATTTTATTCGCAATTCAAGATTAAATTGTTACCTGTTTTGAGAGAAAAAGTATAGTTGCCACAATATGATCTATTTTCGGTGGGATATTTACATTGCAACAACGAAAGCTTATAAGTATGCGCATAGTTTCATAAATCACATTAACTTCTTTTTGCTGAATAGGAAATAAATTACACAATTCTTCGTATGGTTTCAATATCCTATACATAATTTCCATCAGTTTAAAAAAATGTTCGTCATTTTCATAATCCTCAAATTTAAGTGAACCTAATTCTATTATAAAGATTAGCACTTCCACCCATTGTTCAATAAATGTCAATTCTTTCCTAGAATAACTAATTTTTTCCACTGATATTAGCTGTATGAAAGACTCTAACAGTGCAGAAATCAAATTATCAATCTTGAATATTTCCTCAAAGAATTTCTTTTGGTGCGATAAATTTATTCTAGATAATGGCACAAGTACACTTGTTGTCGCCAATAATAACTCATCTAGAATAAGAATTTTAAAGATAACAAATTTTATAAAATTAATTCTCTTATAGAGATTATGGAGAATTGACGTACCGTTGGTTGAACTTCTTAATATAAAGATTATTGAGTCTCCAAAAAATTTACACTCTGTAAAATGAGTTATCCAATCTGATTGAGGATTTACAGTGATGCGCCATGCGGTGCATTGTAAAATTCTGAGAAGTTGAATTAATGTTAGAGTGTCATCAGATTCCAAATTGTTCAGGATTTGTGTAACCAAGTCTTTATCACGACCTATCGTATCAATAACTTCATCCTTACAGCATATATTGCCAATGATACCTAAAATTATTTCCTAAAAATATATTTTTGATTGTTGAAGTATTAATAAAAAATCTTGCTATATTGGTTGTTCTAGAATAATCAAATATTATAAAGATAAATATATGTGTATCATACAATCAATCGTGGTTGATCATGTTTCTCTAATACGTTTCTTGCTATTTTTGGGAAATCATATGACATAAGATGTGATACTATTTCTTCTTCACAAGTCAGATCCCATAAAATACAAAGACGCTCTTCCAGTTCTTGTGTCCAACCATTTTTATCTATCTAAAATAAATTACAATGGCATCAATAACTTTTTGTGATACTTTGTGTTAAACTTATTAAACAATATGTATGGATTGCACTCTTAAAATATTAAAATTATAAAAAAAACCTATAACGTATGACATTGCTGTGTGTTTAGTTTCCATTCATAAATGTGAACAATTACTATAAAAGATAACTTTTGTAAAAAATTACTTCGCATAAAGACATCAAAGTGCTGATTATCCATCTACCGCTGTAGAGGTTATCACCCACAGCATCACCTTTTAACGTTTCTAATTCTTGTTCACTGATGTCCTGCGAATCCATCATGCCAGAATTTTTGTCCATATCTATAATGTTTTTATTACTTCGGTTAATTTTATTTTAGAAGCTATAAAATAATTTAAAACCAGTAAACGAAATTTCATATGGTTTTATATGGTTTTATAGCCCAACGGACGCCTCATCACGTCCGGGGTTATCGCCATCTAACAATGGAGCAGAATAAACACTTGGGAATACTACGATAGGATGCTTTTTATTGTGAATAATGAATAGAAACGCTCAACGTTATTTCTTATAAAATAAAAAAATCTGTCAATAACTTAATTTTCTTATAATTATTTTATTCTTAAAACTCTCAATTTTCAACGTCTATTCTAAAACAGAAATTAATCGTTAAGATAATTCCGATTGAAATGTGAATTGTGATGGATATACTCGTGTTCATGAACGATAAACTTAGCATCAAAATTGATACATGCTATTTCATTCTTAGGTGTCAGTTATCGGAGAGCGTATCTTATTTAGTTATCAGTTAATCATTCAAAGTGATGTTCAAGTTTCACAGATCTTGTTCTCTCTCTCTCTCATTTTCTCTCTCTCACACTTTCATTTCATTGAATATTATATATTATTAGTTAATAAAATCTAATTTATTTAAAATATACACATTTAATGTCTTTATCAGTGAGACAAATATAACTTATTACACATTTATGTGTAATTGTCAAAATACATCATTATGTTGAAAATACATTTAAAAATGTATTTCTTAGAGATAAATATTTTAATGATAAAATGAGTAATTCTATAAAATAGCTTAATTATCAAATAAGCAATTCTGTAAAGTATCCTAATTGTAAAATAAGTAAATCTGTAAAATATCCTAATTGTAAAATAATTAATTCTGTGTTCTTAATTATGGCAGCATTTACAATTGTGCGATATGTGCATTTTGAAGAATATATAAGTAAATAAAAGAGAATATCAAGATTATTAAATATTATTAAATATCATTATAAAACAATAATATCGACATTATAAGATGCTTTGCAGTATTTCTGTTGGTACTTGCATCGTTTGATCATCAACGAGAACGATATCAAACTTTTCCATAAAAGAGTCTAAACTAGCTTCCACCTAAAAAACAAAAACAAATTAGTTAGCATATTTTAATGCTGCTTAATTAATTTATCAAGATACTTACGTGCTCGTAAAGAAATCCTATTTTCAAAACTGCCTTAACATCTTTTATTCCTTCTACCATATCTGCGTCACCAATTGAGTCTCCCATTAACAATACATTATGCCTATTTCTGAGTACCTTCAGATGATTTTTTGCACATTCATTTTTGTTGAATGTGTGTATGGGCACGTTATTTTTAAATCCATCCAATTTATTTCCATTATACTTGAGAAAGTTGGATATTATTTGTACATTGTCATAAAAAGTATTGTGGCACTTTAATATAGCCTCCACCATGTCTCCTAAACCAGCACTAAACACTATAATTGGTACTTTTGCCTTGTGTAATTTCTTAAAAATTTCCTCTGTGCCATCGCGCAACACATTGCCAGATATTAGCGCAACTTTCTCCATTTCATTAGGATCAAATTCAATATCCTTTAATAAATTGTTAGCAGCAAGCATCCAGTCACGCATAGCATCTGATTTTTCATTCACAGATATATATGGATCTATCTCTATAGGTCTATACTTATTATACAATTCTTTAGCTTCATCCAAATAATGTTGCGGCAATTGCTTAGACTTTTTGAACATACCTATAATGTCATGTCATTACAAATTATTACACAGTAGAGAGTAAAGAGATCAGAAGATTATAAATCATGATAAATGTGTTGTGATCAATTATTTCTACTTATTTAAATTAAAATTTCAATATTTGAAAACTTGTGTATTTAAATTAAATTAAAAAGTGAATAGATTACATAATAAAGAAAATGCGTTATTATTATGTAAAGTAACAGAATTAACTTCTTTTATTTATATAATTAATAAATTATAGCATGCCTACCAAAACTACTAAGCATATGTGTTCCATTTATGTGCTGCTTTGTAAGGGTTAAGTCAAAATCCGTTACTACCTGCACAGACAATCATAAATTAACCAAAGATCGCCGAAAAAACGCGTTTATAAAATAACAAGAGATAAGATGTATAAGAGAGATAAATAAACGAGCATACTTGCAGATTACTCGTGCCATCTTGCAGAATCGTATTTATCGTCTTTAAAAGTGTATCTTTATCTTTAATATAAACGTGCTTCGATTTCAAAGCGGGAAACTGTAAGAGAAAATCAGAGAAAACGTATTTCACAATTGTTCGAGTAAGATCACGTCACTGATTAAAACGGTTAAAGTTTCTTACATCATCGAGTGTGACCCTTTTACTCATTGTCGTTAACAGTTTAAAATAGCTGGAAGGCTTCAAGATTGACCGCTAAAAGGCGTCTCGCCCTCGAAACCGGCTTCTCAAATCGTTCTGCTGCCTTTACGCTAACGCGCTGCTGACCTGTCAACTAACAGAAAACAAGTGCGCATGCTAACTACGGTTGATAAACAGCATGCGTCATCTAGCAGCAACGATCAGCTCTACTCGAGCCGTTGGAACTTGACTTTGCCTCTAGAGATGACACTTGCTATTTATATCTGCTATGTTCTTTCGCTAGATGGTGCCCGCTGTTTTTGCGGTTTCTCGTCAAAATACATTTTCTTAATGCTTTTGATTATTCTTTCCTATCAAATTGCGATTGTTCATGGCATTTTGTGGACATATTACAATATCAGATGTAATTTTGAATATTATATTACATAGTTAATGCAGAAAGGTGCTATTGCAGCCGACAGAACGCACGCGCGTCTAACCTCTTGCTGGAATGACGTCATCGGCAAAGTGTGGACAAGGTGGGGGGGAGGGGGGGGGAAATCAGACGGCGAACAGTGGTTCGTGGTGGTGGATGACTGCGAGGGGTAAGAGGAACATCGTGGAATCGTACACGTGTGCGCGGGCGCGCGCGCAAGTGTGTGTGGCTCTTTCGGCGCGGTCGTGGCGGTGCGGTGGCTGGTGTGTGCTAGTGCGGACCGCGCAGTGGGTATCAGTGGACATCGGCGGCCGGAGTGCGTCAGTCAGTTGGCAAATTTTGCAGTTCCCCTTGCCTTCACGCGTGCATGACTGTACGGCGGCGAGCCGATAGTAAGCGATAGCGCGAGTGAATTCGCTGTAGTCGACGAGGGTGCGGTGGTGGTGTTAGTGGCCGCAGTGGTGCTGCTCCTTTTCGTCAGCGGTCGAGCCTGCTGATCGCGCGCTGCTGGTCCATGTGCTCTGCTGACTAAAATGCTCATCAAGGAATAGTAAGTGACAGCGCGGTGGCGAGTGTAGGGAGACTGTCAGATGCGTGCGTGACGAATACCTGAATTCCGTTTCTTATTTCTATCTTGAGCCAGCAAAATTCAAAACCGATCGACGGGTTGCGATTATTAATCCTTAACGCTGGCTAGCAACTGGAGGGAGATAGGAAAAGAGGGATCGGGAGAATGAGAACGAAGAGAGGAATTGTGCATGTGAGAGAAAGAAAGACGGAGGCATTGTGGCCCTTTCATCCCTTATTGCTTGATTCTAGAGGTCTGTTCGTTTTAGCCCATGCACTTTCTGCACTTTATTTTGTCTCTCTTTTCTCTCTGAAGCCCGAACGTGCACTCGATTCGTTTTAAAAGCAGAAGGTGCAAAAAGTGTAGCTGCATTTTCACCGAACCTCAAGGTTTCTCGGGTTCCTGAGGCATCAACCACCGGCTTGCGTATATAGAGCGACACGTAATCACTCATTAATTTCAAATTTCATTGATTGTCTTTGATTTCTGATTCAATTAAAATCAGCCGATACGATACGTGCACTTTGCGGCAGCAATGCATGCCCCCCGTTTCACGATGCGGGAAACGTGACTCAAGGCCACGGTTGCGCTGTCGTGATCTCCGTTGCCTTCTTTTCTCCCCTTTGCCTGACATAAGGCTGACATAATTCATTGTTTGTTTGTTACAGCCGAGTCACTCTGCCCCTCACAGTGGAAGAGGTACGTGTTTGATCCGTGACAAAGGTCCTGCTCCTCAATAATGACCCAGTTTGAGTCTAAGGACGTTAGATTGCAGAAAAAAAACGAACGACAGAAATTAAATTTCTTAGCATTACTGTGCAATCAGAAAAATCCACCAATCATCTAATTGCTGCTTGCAATAATAATATATGTCCAACTTCATATGTAGAGTTGTCTTGCAAATGAGGATAAATTTGTGATTAAAGTGTCCTTTTCTGTCAGACAAACAAGTTCTAAATATATATTTCCTTATTATTACCTGTCACTGTAGACTGTATTTCTATTTTTTTTATATCTCAGACGATAGAATAATATCCAGGAGAGATATCTGAATGGTACAATAATTGCTAACGTAGAACTAGTTTTTTTTAAATATTTTATATATAGATATAATTTTCTTCATTTACATCTGAAACTAATTCATAATTGAGTAATAAATGGGAAAGAAAAAGATAAAAAAAAAATTAATTAATATGTATGAAGAAATCAAAGTTCAATCTTATAAACTGTTGTGTCTGGAAGCAAATTATATAATCTGAGTATCTATCTCTTGGGAAATATACTAAAATCATTTGTCTTTCTCTCTTCTTTTACAGTATCAAGTAGCTCAATTATATTCTGTAGCAGAGGCTAGTAAGAATAATACAGGCGGTGGAGAAGGCATTGAAGTGTTAAAAAATGAGCCATTCACTGATTATCCGCTACTTGGTGGAAAGTACTCGTCAGGTCAATATACATATAAGATTTATCACTTAGCTAGTAAAGTGCCTCCTTTCATTCGCATTTTACTGCCAAAAAATTCGCTGGAAATCCATGAAGAAGCTTGGAACGCTTATCCTTATTGTAAAACAGTCATAACTGTAAGTATTGACATGTACACAATATATACAAAATATCAAATATTATATAACATTATTTTAATCTTTTTCCAGAATCCAGGTTATATGAAAGACAATTTCGTTATCATGATAGAATCCTTTCATATTGGCGATGTTGGCAATCAGCATAATGTAAGTATACGAAATCGGAGAAGCATATTTGGTTGTTTATGTATTTTTTTTTTCTCACGAATAGGTTCACGAATTGCCACCTGATAAGCTCAAAATAAGAGACGTAGTGCACATAGATATTGCAAATGATCCGGTTGCCAATGCCGATTACAAAGAGGACGAGGATCCGACTAAATTCAAGTCCCAGAAGACGGGACGGGGTCCTCTCGTAGGGAAGGAGTGGAAGAATAATGTACAGCCTGTGATGACGTGCTACAAGCTAGTCACTTGTGAATTCAAATGGTTTGGCCTGCAAACCCGCGTCGAAGGGTTCATACAAAAGGCGGAGCGGCGCTTGTTCACTAATTTCCATAGACAAGTGTTCTGCTGGATAGATCGTTGGTATGGCTTAACCATGGAGGATATTAGAGCAATCGAAGACAATACGAAAGAAGAATTAGACAGGGTAAGAAACTTGGCTTATCTTCGGTCGATTATTTCGCTCGTGAATTTATTCGACACGCGAATTCTCTCTCTCAATTGATTCGTTAAGAACTAGGAATTTCTGATTGTGTTCTAAAACGCTCTTCATATGTTCAATTGCAGCAAAGACATCAAGGAGAAGTACGGGGTATGCGCGCTGACGAGTGAGGCTTCGATAGCTTCTATTATGAACGGTTAAATCAATTTCCTTATACATGTCAACACAAATACATACGCATACCTACAGATGTACACCCTGTTACGCTCTGTCATAGACGATTCCACAGGATTCGGACGATTTCCAGAGTTTACGTGTCTAGATTCATGTCTATTACAATTACTTACAATTTTAATTTATTTTACAAGCGTTTTAGATAAATGTATCTACAGTCAAAGATTATAATTATAATGTAGCTATTATAAATGAAAAGGAGAAATGTGTGGAAAGAATCGGAGTCACATCTGATTCTTGTTTAATGCATAATTATAAAGAAAGAAAATTTCTGGTTTCGTGAAAACCGATTATAGATAAAGAGTTACGATTACTTAACAGCAGTTCGTAGTTCGATAATAATAGGTATTGGAGTTCATTAATGAACGAAAAAAATGTTTACTGCAAAATACACAAAAAAAAAAAACAGGAAAAATATGTGATTAACACTGCAACTTTGATCGTAGTTGAATAGTTAAAAAAATCCACAGTTTAATATATTAATGTACAATTGAAAATCTAAATGTTACATATTAATGATCCGTGTTGGAACTATCATTTCAGTCGAAAGTGTGATGTAATTGATCATGTATTTTCGGATGAGGATGTCGAGAATATTTCTTTACCTTGAGAAAGTGTACATACATACGATTAGGAAGCTTAGCTGGAAAAATGTTCTAAAAGATCTTCGATGTGCATTTACAGTTATTTTGTACCTTCCATCTCGAAGCAAGCTAGATTCCAATTTGTAACAATCTTCTGTTATATTCTTTGTTATGTTTTATTCCGTTTGTTATCGAATGCGAAGTATATGTTGAACGCGATGTACGCACCGATCTCTTAATTAGAACCAAAAAACTGATGGATTTTTTAATTATACTGCGACGTTTAACATTAACATCACACCCCCAAATTGTTTCACTGAGGACGTGAAGGAGGCAATGTATTCTATGTAAAGTGCTCACACACCGGTATACATATACACACATATGTAGAATCAGAGTTTAGGCTATTTAATATTGGTGACAACGGGTGAACGGCGAAAGGATGCGTTATTGTATATAAAAAGAAAAAAAAAAATGAGGCATACAATGAAATTCAAATTCAAATAATACGATATGTAATGTTTCTTTGCATTCCAATGGATCTCTGAATACAACCGATAAAGTATTTTAGAACGCTGCTCGCGTGACCCATTACAGGCCACAGGATTATCCTTACGGCCTTTCTTCAGTGCGTTATACTGAAAATATCGCGGCAAATATTTATGTTAACGAGGCTGGTTTCCGCTGAAACGATAACGAAACCGCTGTAACCACGAGACATCATAGAAAACATGTTCAAAATAACTTATTTAACTGCCGTTTCGCTATATGTGGAATAAACGGACAATTGGGCAGTCAACGATTTCGAACTTGGGTTTGGACGAACCGCGCCATCGCAGCAGCGTTCTCACATAGCCATAGGATCTCTAATTAAATATATATGATTAAAGATTGAAAACAAGTAACAAGGAGAGTGTATAATTTAACTGTCATTTGCACAAAGTAAACGTATTCTCAGTATTACGTTGGATGGCATAGGCATAGGCTAAGATATAGCTTTATCTTTCGTATTTGCGTACGAAAACAGTGGTAGCCAACGATTTGGTGCACATAGTATTTGTACTCGATGTACCAGACGTATGCGCGAGAATAATAGAAAACTGGGCACGCTTTATCTCCTTGAATGAGGAAAAAAATCAATTGAAATAGGGCAGATCTGTGTCGTTCGAACAAACTTGTAAAACTTTAACTAATCCGCCTTTGTTTCGCGACTGCGTCGCCCCGTTCCGTTTAACGATGAATTTCACGCGCGGGTTCGCACTATACCTGTTATCCTACGATAATAGTTACTTAATATAGAACAGATAAGCTGTTCCTGACGTATGACAAGCAGGGTAGAGAGAGAGAGAGAGAGAGAGAGAGAGAGAGAAGAGAGAGAGAGAAGAGAGAGAGAGAGTCGAAAAAAAAAAAAGAGAATTCTGTATCGCTGCCAAAGGGCTGAACATTGAAATACCAGATGTGTATGTGTATATATGTATATATGCACGTGTATATATATACATGCGTTTCCTTTTCTGCATACATACGTATATACATACATATGTATGTGTATGTGTGCGCACGTATGTGTGTATGTCTCTCGATCCAGTCACGACGTATTTAGTCAAGAGCTAATAAAATTAGAAGGCATGGTGTATAAAAATTTATTTCAACTTTTTTCTCCGTATAAAAATATATGGGTACACATGCTAATTATATACAATTAATAATATCGATAAAGTACGTACAAAATATATTTTGTCTCGAATACGTAAAGAAAGGATGATATTGCGGGGATTACCTTGCACGTGCGAGTCAAATTGCGATTCAATTGAGGCCGTACTCTTTGACGAGATTTCCGGCTATGACAAGCTTCTGGATTTCCGATGTGCCCTCGTAGATCTCTGTGATACGCGCGTCTCTGTAATGACGCTCGGCCGGCATGTCCGACACGTATCCCATCCCTCCTAGAATCTGTATGCACTGATGAGCGCAGAACGTGGCGGTTTCGGACGCGGACAGCTTGGCCATAGCGGCTTCCTAGCAAATAAGAAATTTATCTTGATAGTAGAATAGTGAAATCGTTGATGCTAGTGCGCAAAGATTCACATCAATATTCGCTTCCGATTCTCTATAAATTTTTCCACCGAAAAGGAATCCAACGTCCCGGTAATGGGAAACGCTCGATTCAAGTAATTGCATATATTGATGTGAATATTTGCGCATCGACATTTGCGATCTAGCTCCATCAGGCCTTCTGTTAGCGAGATTTAGTATCTCGTGTGAAACGAAAATGTCCTTGTACGCGTCGTGCAAAAGTACAAAGGTTCTGCGATAGATAAATGGAATTCGTATCTAATGGAAGAAACAAAGATTATATGCGATAAGATAAATAAATATATTAATTGAACAAGCTAGTGTTATTCGGTAGGATAAATTAATACTTTTATTACTCCAAGTGTTTGCAACGCACCTTCGTATACGGTTTACCGCTATCTTTAAGCTGAGCCGCCCGCCACGTCAGCAATCTCGAGCTTTCCAATTTCAGAGCCATGTCGGCGATTTTTTGCTGAATCGTTTGCAGCTTGATGATGGACTGGCCGAAAGCTTGGCGCTTGGACGCGTAATCCATCGCGCAGTCTAGAGATGCCTGAGCTATGCCCAACGCTTGTGCGGCGATTCCTATTCTGCCAGCATCTGGAAAGAAGATGGAGTTGTATGAATATCTCTATCATCAATCCAAAGTCGCATTTGAGGCTGTCACGCACCTAGAGTCATCATCGCGATCTTAAAGCCCAGGCCGGGCTCGCCCAGAAGATTCTCTCTAGGCACTTCACAATCTTCAAAGATCAAGGAGCAAGTACTGCTGCCTCGTATGCCGAGTTTATCCTCTTTTTTGCCTAGGCTGAGACCAGTTGTTGGACTGTCGACTATTATAGCGCTTATACCTTTGTGCTTCTTGGACTTATCGGTCGTCGCGAAGAGAACGATCGCCCCGGCTTCGTACCCGTTCGTTATCCACGACTTGGTGCCGTTGATCGTGTAAACGTTGCCATTTGCCTTGGCGGTGGTGGACGCGGCACCAGCGTCTGATCCATTGCCCGGCTCGCTCAGAGCGAAGCAACCAATCTTTTCGCCGCTCATAAAGGGAGCGATGTACTTCTCTTTCTGTTTATCATTTCCAAATTTGTCGATGGGTCCTGAGTAGAGCGAATTATTCACACTCATTATAACTCCAGCACTCGCGCAACCCCTGGAAATTTCCTCCAGGGCTACAGCATAGGCCAGATAATCCAGTTCCGTGCCACCGAATTTCTCGGGAACGCATAAACCCATGAGACCTAATTCACCCATCTTTTTCACTTGCTCTTTTGGAAAAAGGTGTTTCTTATCAACTTCTGCTGCGATAGGCTTCAATTCCTCTTCCGCAAAGTCTCTGCAATTATAAATTTTTCATCATAAAGCAAATAAGCTTCTTATTTAATTGTATTTACTAGAATACGTAAAGTAGAATAAACGCAGAGATAGAATTTGTTAATTATGTAAGAAATTTGACATGTCTGATGTCAAATTGAAATACCTGCATGTTTTATGCAGCATCTGATGTGTATCTGGCAACATAGAAAGTGAGACAATGTGTCGGTTGAAAGTACCTCTAGATACGTTAAGGACATTTGCTGTAAATAATAAAAAAGTAACAAAATTAGTCAGTTATTAACTAATCTTGACAGTTATGACAAGATGAGGTGAGCTAATATTTAGAGAGTTCACAGTTAAATTTAAAAAAGTTACTGACTCACCAAATAATCTGAAGCACTGCATTGTAATTGTTATCTGTATTGACAATCAACTTGTGGATTTATGACACGAGTAGAATGAATCAAAACAAACCTTCGGACTTTGGTCAAAGTGATATCTATTAGTTAAATTTCACTTACATATATATGTATCTATATTTAAACTATATACACTAAAATTTACTTAATGTTAGGTAGCAAAGTTCTTCTTTTTACTGGCAAATCAGCTGACAAGCAGATCGCAAACAACCTAACAACTAGTTGTGGACTGTGCGGAAGTCTACATATCACTGGTGATCACCGGCTGGTAAAGTTGACGCACAAAGCCGGGTAGCGAGATCAGGCGAGTAAATTCTTTCGGGCGGGATTTTCGTACGTTGATTATGTACCTCAAAATTTACTTTATTTCTTTAAATTCTATTCTTCTAACATTGAATTCTTGATTAAAATTTTACCGTTCTGAATTTATTTTTTACCAAAATATGATCCCTTGATAATATTATCAATTTCTCTAGAATCCAACGGCAAACGCAAACTTTAATTTTTATTCTCTCTTAACTAAAAAAGTTTATATTAATTAATTTATTAAATAGTAATTATATTAAATAAATTAAATTTATATGTTAATTACACCTTTTCTACGTACATTTGAAACATAATTTTTTATCTAAAGCTCTTTTTATGTTAACTTTGTTAATAATATATATAAATAAATACTTGTTACATATATATAAAGTAAAATTTGAATAACTGCATAGGAATATTACATAATTAATCTCTTAAAATATACATAATTATACAAAATAGCACAAATAAGCTCATTTTTAATATTATGTAAACATTTAGTCTTGATAAAATTAGCAATGGCTTTTATGTTACTCTAGAAAAAATTTTCAAGTATGTAATATTTCTCGCTTATCAAGAAAAGAAGTAAATCGCAGAATCATAAAATAATTTCGGAAAGCATTCTCGGTTTTCGCGCTTCTATGTGTCAACTGCGATCAATATACCGCATGATCAGGTACAAGTGTGCGCATGCACTGTCTCGGTTCGATAGCGACGAGCTCGATGTGTTCTGGGTCCTGCCGCGCGTCCTGAATTTCTACGCTCTCGAAGAGAACGATCGTTTTGTCTTGCACACCAGTGAAAAATCGCGAAAATCTGAGCACGATGTCGAGCAGCAAGTGTGTGAAACAGCCGCGCAAGGCGTACATCAAGGAGCAGCATGATATGACGTACTCCGAGAAGCTGAGGCTGATCGACGACGAGCTGAACTCCTTTTACAAGTAACAATCTGTTTCCGACATGCATGACAGACTATTTACGAAATCGTCGACCGGCGACGTAATTTCTCACGTTGTATACATTAGCGTTTTTCATTGACAGCATGATATTAACAAATCAAAGAAACAAGTAAAAGAAATTTATGTTAAAGAATGTTAATTTCAAGTTTATCGAAGCATGAAGAAACGATAATAGTTCGGCGACACTTTTCGAGATCAGTATTATTGCATCATTTTTAAAGAAAATTATCGCAATAATAATCTTCTTCTTGAATTATCATAGTGATTATGTTTTTTTATTACTAGTTTGTAACGTCTAAAGCCTTTCTGTAGGTACTGCCAGCAGGCGGGCTTTACCGAGGAGGAGATGGACATTATCTGCCAACCGCTAGTGGCGGCGATGCGTCGCTCGTGGCTGCAGCTCGTCTTTCGCGGCACCCTGGTGCTGATTGTGCTGGGGACGTTGGCGTGTCTCGCGGCGCAGCTCGACTTCGTCGGCACTCATTTCACCGCTCTTAGCCGCCTGTTGCTGATCAAAGTGCTGCCGATCTGGAACTGGCAACCGCTCTACTACGAGAACTGCATGATCAACAATCCCTTCTACAACGATTACACTATCACGGAGGAGGATTGCGTGGTATGCTTCGTATTTTTCGGGATAAAAGATGAAACTTCTCTAAATCACTGTTGTAATCGTTCTAAAAAGAAATATTTTTATTTGTAATTTTATATGTGGCACTTTAAACGAAAGTTCGTTCGACAGATAGTTGTTGTATCTTTTGTGCGTGCGCTTGAATAATTAGCAAGACTTTCTTTCAGACTTGCGAAGCGCTGGAGACGATTGATCGTCTATCGGATGTTCGCTATCGTAATCTTGTCGACAATTATCTGAGTCGCGACGCACCGGCCATCATCACCGACGCGATGGATTCATGGGCGGTCATGAATACCGATTACTTCTGGTTTGACAATATCACTCACGTGAGTAGCAAATGATTCTAGTTGCGCTATCACAGGAGTGAGATAACTTAACTTTCAGAGATAGAGTCAGAAAAAAACCTAAAACAGTTGTTGAATCTCAATTATTCTCGAGGACAAAATTGACAGAATTTTTAACCGACTGATTACTTTTGTGAAAAAAAAAAACTTTCTTTTTAATGAACAGCTCTACTTGGAGAACGAGCGACTAATGGAGACGGTGCCCTGCGCGTTGACTTCGAATCTGCGCACCGGTTCATCCGATCTCGCGGCGTTTCTGCGACGCGTGCACGCGCCCGAAGTGGCCAAGTGGTTTGTCCACTGGCAGAATTGCGACATCAACGCGGTGAAAGTGCTTAGAAAATATTATCAGCGGCCGTACTTCCTCTCCAGCACGGTCTCGCCGGCCCACTTTAACTGGGTGCTCATGTCTTCGGACTACAACAGCCCGAGCTACAAGAAAGTCGAGCTCGATTCCGGCCTAATCGCGCTCGCACAGCTCCGTGGCGCGACTCAGCTGCGGCTCACCCCCATCAACCCCTGCAACAGCTCGTGTCCCGAATTGATCGCCGATCTGCATCAGGGCGAGATGCGTAAGTGCCGTTCGAAACATTCGATCGTTTGAAATGTTGAAATACGGAGCAACTTTGGCGAGAAATTAAAATAATTAATGTAATTTAAGAAAGCACACAAAAATCCTTCAAGTACTTACATAATTATTTTTATAACAGATTTTGTAACAGATAAATAAATTAGTCTAATTAATTATGCCAATAAAATTACTTGATGTAACGGTTTCTATATAATAAGTGATTAGAAATTATTATGCTTCTTAATTCGACGTGATGGATGAAAGATGTTCCGTATTTTCGGTTAACGCTGCATGGTGAACAAGGGATTGGGCTATAATAAATCGAATTTCCAATTAAAAACTCGCTTATTATATTAATTATCCAGTTATCGGATAATTAATCTCCCAAAACTAGGGTAATAATATATATTTCTCGATCTTAATCTAAATTAACTTCATTAAACGTCAGTATTGTCTGCGGATATAATATTGTCAACCGCTGTTGCGAGGAAACGAGACATTTCTGAGCTAATTGCAACTCTTTTTTTTTCCCTTTATCAGAAATGTGCATGCCACACAAACTCTTTTCCACGATAAAAATTCAGTTGGAGAATTACAATAGCCGAATATTTTCAATATATTTTACATATTCTTTCGGCAATCAGATAAAATATTTATTTATTTATTTAACGTCTATCTAAAAACCGAATAATAGGATTAACAACAATCTCGCGAATTCTGTTAAAACTTGACCATTTCACACGGCAAATTCATTGCTATACGTTCTTGCAAATATTAATTGTGACAACGTTTGTGATATATCTTCTCATTCATCAATTATATTCATAATATTGCCGTAGTCGTTTTCACGAACCTGATGTGGACGCTCGAGTACGCGCCGATGCGCGGCCTGGACAACATCGCTATACTCACGGAAACCGTCTGGGAGGAAGACACGTAGATTGCATCGTCATCGCGCAGATCGTCGTCCCGGCGTGCGACCGGGATACTTTTTAATCCGTAATACTCTTCGACGCGACAGCTATCTCAATCAATATTGTATACTCATTCCCTCATGATACGCATGAAATAAAAATTGAGCATTCTGGTTTCCGGTCGAATCAATTAATTTCCTGTCCACACTCTCTCGCTAGGTTTCGGGGGTTTACAACAGTGTCTACAACAGAAAGATCATCCGGGGCAGAAGCGAATACGATCGACACACTGTGAAAGAAAGATCGGTGCGACAGTTCACAACGAGGTATACCAGAAGTAACAACAAACAAGATTCGTTTTTTATTAATTAATCGTTTATAATAACATTGTGTGTGTGTTTTTGTGGGCTCTTTTAAATCTCCCTTTTCTCTTTATATATATATATATTATGCTATATATATATATATATATATATAGCAGTTTTTTTTTCCTGTTTCTTATTTCACTTCGGCCTAACAAGGAGTTAAGATCGTTACGCACCGATTCATAGAAAAAACAAAGCGCAAGATTACTGAATGACAAACGTAGCTGGCGTTCTTCTCTCTCTTGGCATGCTTAAGAGACAATATGATATTTTCTTTTTTTTTTTCTTCTTTTTCTTTTACGTTTATATTAAAACGTCGTACGTATGTATATAGTCGATTTGCGCTACCTCCTTGCTCCTCTTCATATGTCCTTAATGTCGACACGAGAGAAAGAATGACAATAATTGGCGACTAACTAACACCGTCCGGATAGGTTCGTGGTCTCCTCCTGTACCACCCCCTCTGTCAGTCACTTTGATTCGTTTATAGCGCTCTCTCCGTCTGTCGGCTCTCCTACGAAACAAAAGTCCGCGGATCCCAGGACAGAGCGTCGTCGATCTTGTTGAAGCGCCGGTGTCCGTTTACGGCCGTTTATATATCGCAGTGCACGGAAATTACGCCAATTTCAATCGACGGATCTCTCTTAGAACCTAGAATCAATTATTTTCGAAAAGCGAGCACTCAAATACACTTGCTAATATCTAATCTCGTGAGTACATTTTTTTTTTTTTCAAACGTTTACAAGAACAGAGTCGTCGTCAATCGCGTTATACTTTCATATCATCCGCTTTTGATAATAAAGAACTCCGAAACGGACACCGGCGTGGTGGTCGAGATTGCCATCGACGCATACGACCCGGGGTATACGTGTGTACGTATGTGTATGTGTGTGTGTGTGTGTATGTGTGTGTATTTGGTGTGCGGGGAGGAGGGCGTTATATTTATTCTATTCGTTACCTAGTAGGTGGAATCAATCCAGTGCCTTACGCCTAAAAATACCTACGAAGACCGAAAGAAACATCCGGAGAAAGAAGGATTCATTGGGCGCACCTGCGTTTCCTTTCAGCATTCGAGAGCCCGCTCGTTTGTTTGTTCGCACGCTCGCTCGCTCGCTCGCCAGTCAATTTCGTTCTCGATATCAAAAGAGCTACATGGATCGACCATTTAAAAGCTAAATCGGTAACGATGAGAATATACAATGAGATATACAGAGGCGTGAGTCTCGACAAATGATTTCGAGGAGATTTCTTTTTGGTTTCTGCGTAATCCGATCGGTACCGCTAAAATTAAGGCTGATAATCCCGTCAATCGCGCCTTTGTGGGCCGCGTTGTGATTATTGGAAAGGAAAAAAAATCACGCGCAACTTTCTCCCCCCGTTTTAAGACGAACAAAACCGTCGCGGGAGCTTCGAGGAGCGATCCCACCCCGCGCTCGATCGTTGTGTCCTTTATTCTATTGTTTCTGTTAATCTGATCGATCGCTTTGTCGGAATCGCTTGGTCTGGACCGCGCCGGAAGGGACGGGGATCGCGGACGATTAACCCGTTCGAACGTTCTAACGCGAGAATGCGCGGTGAGTGTCGTGTGAAAATCGCATAGGCGCGTTTTACGGATGATTGTGTCTAAACGTCTAACGGTGATAAGTAAAAATGCTTTCTCCTCTTTCTCTCCTCAACTTTGTACCGTAGGTATAAGCACTAATGCGCGCCGCATCGATAAATTTCTCTATCTTTTCCCGTTTCTTTTTTTCTCTTTTTTTTTTTCTTTCCTTTCTCGCAACTTTTCCCCTCTCCTTTTTTTCAAAGACCCGCGGATTCTTCACCGGAATCTAGGCTCGACATCTCGCGTCGGTGCTCCCATAAAATTCTCTTGTCTTTTTTTACGTCTATATAATCAATTAAGTTTGTAACAAATATGTATACTTTCTCGCTCGCGCGAAAGAACTATACACGGCTATATTATTAGAGATCGAGAGTGTAACGCAGGAAACAACCGAGAGAAAACACATAACGATTGCGACATACGAGAGATACACACACTCGCTATAGTGTTTTGGTACTCGTTATAACACCCGCGGCATTGGAAACTTCGGTATCAGTCTTTTTTTTTCACATTGCCTGAATCAAGATTGCGAATCGGATATGATGTACGATGTTGTCGTAGTACAGTGCAAATTATTAATCGCGGAGGGAGCGGGGAGGTTAAGGACAAGTCAAACGAAAAGTCGCACGAAGCTGGCGCGCGCAAAAGGGACGTGCTCTGGGAAAAAAAAATATCGATATCGCTGCGATCCTTTCGACTTGATTGCTATCCAAACAATCCAGTTGTGTAGTTTCCGCGAACAAGCATTGACAATTTTCTTCCTTTCGCTCATAAATACAGTGTGTATATACAATTTAATTGAAAAATATAATACAGCGAAAGTAATTTTGCGAAAAGCGAGAGCGAAGCTTCTGTCGCGGATCATTACGGTACGGTCGTCGCGCATTCATTTCTGCGAAGAAAGCAAGATAAATTCTTATGCGTCTGCGCGATTATCCGATGCTACACCACTGGATCTGATCAATCAGTCGGATTCAATTGGATGCATTACACGCATCCGAAAGGGAAATTATTCCACCTCATCACGCGGACAAATGCGGGCGATAAAAGGAAAAGAAAGCGAAAGGGTGCTTCAACACTCGAGTGCTGGCTACTCTGTCGTGATACTTTTGATTCGGACAGATTCACTCGATGCAAGTGTAATCGTGCGCAAGCTCGCCTTCGACGAGGAGAGCACCGCGTCAGAGAGATACATCAATCTTTTGCGATTAATCGCACGTATCTTAATATAACAACGCTATGATTTTCATTACAACAACTTCGTTGGAGTTACTGCTTCTCAATAATCTCCTTCCCTCCACCGTCTTAATAGCTTACTTTATGAAAAATTCTAATTTTGACAACGAACATTGTAAGACGTAAAAGTAGCCATTGCGATACGGACACGCATAGACCGATTATTCAATAATCGAAAAATGAGCTATTTAGTTACTTTATTTAAGATAATATACTCTTCAATTCTTTGTTGACTTTTTGCGAAACATTCTGCTTTGGTCCATAATGACGTATACATCGAGGTTCTTATTGCACGTTGTACAACACTGTATCTTTTTACGATATCAGAATTTCAACATTATATTTATGTCGTATTACTTTTCTGAGTTTACTGTAGAATTAACCCTCTCACTCCCACCTTTAAATACATTCTAAACTCTAACAAGGTGCAATTGTAACATTATATATTACGAGATATATATCTTCTCCCCAAAAATTATTAAAGCTGCCGTGGGACGCGCGTCCCAATGGGAGTGAAAGGATTAAATCGCGACTCTGAATTTTCTAGAAATCACTTTGTTCTCGGCGGATAATATTATCTCCCTGCGCGGTGCTCTCTCCTTCTCAAGACTTCGAGCTTGTCTCGCGATATTTTATTATGTGTATATATATATATGTGTGTATAT